TGGTAAGATTCATGCCGTGAGACGGCTCAGACGCCTGAGGCTGCTTCTTGGGCAGGCGGAGTGATTCCGCTCTTTTCCATTTGTCATTTTGCAACGAGTCTCTCCCCTTTCAGTCCTGGAAGGCCCAGCCCCTCTCTTGCTCCCCCCCCACAAAAACACATATGCCGGGAGTACCTCCGGAATTCATTTTTAGCCTCACCCCCCTTGCCGTTTATCCGCGGGAGGGCGGAAATCCGACCGATGTCAAGGCCTCCGCCGCGGGCTGGTGCTGGAGTTGGGCTGTGCCTCGCCGGAGAAGTGCATCGCTTCACTTCGTTTGGTATGAAAGGGGTGCCAAAAAGATCATGGTTGGAAACCAAAAGGAAAGCCACTTAAAAATCGGGGGGGGTCCCCCAAATTGTTTTGATGAGGTGTGCCCAGATTGCTTTTTGTGATGAGATTATATTACTGCGCCTCGGATTGAGAAGCTGGATAAAAAGAGGGATGTCCCCTTCAACTGTGTTTGCTGCATTGGTTTGGGGTGGACACCCCCTATCAACCTGCCGGGTTGATTCAGCTGGGTCGGCATAACAATATACCTTGATGCATGATTGTCAACCTGTTGATTTGATATTGAAGAGCACTATGGTAAAGATCCGTGAAATGATAACTTCTGTAGGGTGAAAGATCAGTACTATACTTTCCGGTTGGCGTCCACAAGGATAGCCAGCAGGTGGGGAAAAGGCAAGCCGGTCACCAAAAAAGAACCCAAAGCTCTCGCGATGCAGGTGGAAGCAAGTCCTTGGCACCAGGTCTTGGAGAGGCCGGCTGTGTCTGTTGTCTACACCCCTGAGGTCCGATGTGGGTCTGGGTCAAAATCAAACCACCAGGATATGGACCGCAGGTTTTAGTCCATTTACTGGGGTTCCATTTTGGGTACATATCTTTGACCCACATCCATGTGTTCAAAACCTGAAGCATTGCTGACACCATGGCGCATCCGACATCCGGCGGAGGCGGGATTTGTGGCCATCGCCACAGACTTCTCGCCGACCGCCATCCAGCAGGCCAATCCGTGCCACCGTCGCCCGTACTGCGAGCCGCGAGTCGCGAGGCGGCCGCGGCCGCGGCGGCCGCGGCCAGCTTCGGTTCACAAGACTTTGCCACGCTGGATGTGAGGTGCCAGCTGCATCAGTCTGCGGTATGGCAAGCTTTCCCGGGCGTGGGATCCCTTCTTTCAGGTTGACATTTACAAGAATTTGCGACCAGGACTCTTCCGCACCGGTCTGGAGTCTACGACGCGGCCCGGGCACTCGGCACACAGAAAGCGACATCCACCTCAGGTTTTTGTTTTTGTTTTCCTGGTTGGCATCCTGCAATCAGCCCAGTCAGGTTTGAAAGCTATTTTTTACCCATGAGGTAAAACCTGCCAATCAGGTTTTAGAGCCATTTTTTCCCATGAGGTACACCATTCTGGTACATTGGCACAACCCGACACGACCACTCGCCTGGCATAACCCACGGCACCTCTCCGGTCCGGTCCGGAGGTCATCGACAAAGGTTGCTTCGACGCCCTGAAGCCGGAAGACTCCAGCCAGATGCTCTTGGAGGCCCCGAGGGCCAAAGGGCTTTATTCTTTTTCTTTCTTTATCTATTGAATCTATTGAATTGTTGCATCTAATATTAGTTTATCTTCAAATAAATACGAATTTGAATGTAGATACGTATGTATACATTGGTCCCCCCCCAAAAAAAGAAAGGAAGGAGACAAAAACGCGCACAGGCACACACACACACACAACCCACTCGCGCGCAATGTAATTTCGCAGTATTTACAGTACTTTTGGCTGAATTCCGCCCCTGTTCAGGCACTCCAATCTTGAGCATTTAACTATGCTCGCGTTCCCAGGACTCTAGATCTTGAATCTTGAATCCAGTATGAGGCCCCCAAAACGCCTTAGAGCGCTTCAAAGCGCGTTTGTCTAGGTAGCTCATGGATTCAAGATTCAAGATTAAATATCGAAGCAAGATGGAAAATGATTGGCAGATGTCTTGGTACTGGCACAGGTTTGTAAGTTGAGAGACAAACAAGATTTGCACATGATGATAAATCGAAGATGCTCATGCGAAGCAGAAGAGGTATTGTTTGCCCGATTTTGATGTTTTTCTAGCAGTACCCTCACACATATGTTTTCCCTTACATAAGCCGCAAGCGTGGGTTTTGAGGGGGGATATACAAGTAACTATATGTTTATACTTATGCGTTTGTGCATACATGAGTTGGGGTGATAGGGCTGTGCATTTCTTTCATATACACAACCATCTTAAGAGAACCAACAGTCAATGGGTGTTGAGCGCTTCTGAATTCGGGACACTTTGGTGGACATCATCTATGTGGAGTGTTGTGACCTCCAGCCATTTTGGAGTGTCCCCGATCAAATCCATAGGCACCAGGGCTGATTCTTGGATTCTGACTTCCCTCTGAAATAGGACACTTCCCCCCGCAAATCAACTAGGGATGGAGAACCCCGGGTCAAGGTGAGTAGGGATGGTTATTATGCCGGACCTTGGGCGACCCATCGGGGAGGAAGGGTTCCGACCACGCATGAGCAGAGGAAATTGTTGCCAGGAATATTCCATTACCCAGGGGCGGAGGTAGAGGGCTGGAACCCCACTGCCCTGACATGCTAAATTCACCAAGGAGAATGAATGTTGTGCGTGGAGGATGGACAAGGAGCTGCCGAATTGTTGTCCACACCTGACGCCCTTGTGGTCTGAAATGTGATTTAGCTTTCAAACTTGATAAAGGGAAGTCACAGCGGCGCTTGCGGATCCAGTTGGTAGTGTCTCACATTCTGATACTTTGGCCAGCTCTGGCAAGCCCTTGGTCGGCTGCTCCTGGGCTCGCCCGCAATTTATTGTGCACGTGAAGTATTGGCCAGGCATGTCGAGTATTGGTGCCTGGAGGCCGCTTCTTATGTGCCTCAAGCTCAGGCTGTGCAACTTTCGTTTCGTAGTCTTCATGATTGCGCTCAAAGCCTCCCAGCCCTGAACATCCCAACGGCTCCCGGACTTGACCAACCGAACTTCACAGCTTACATTTCTTTTGCCCGCCCAAACCGCCCATTGCTTAGGTCTCAAACAACGAGGTCTTGGTGCGCAGCCGAGCACGGAAAGTCCCAGGTGCCTCTTGGAGGGTAGGGCGTCCATTCAATACATCAGTTTGTCAATGGCAGCTGGGATGGGCAGGGAGGTTGGGTTGGGACTCTTCGGACTGCATGATACTTGGCAAGAGTTCACTTTTGAAGGGTGTTGGCATTTGGGCTTGCCATTTTGGATTGTATCCTTTTTGGGGTTGCGAAGGGAAGCCTTGAGGGATATGGCTGCCCTTTTCGGGACAAAGCCTTTTGGCCTTGTGGCATATTTTCTTTTCCCGGATTTGTGTCGCCGCAGCCAATGCCTTTGACAGGCTGGCGGGCGGCGGGCGAGCCCTCTCAGATTCCGGGCATTGATGATGAGGCGTACCTCCTGGAGAACTCCCTTCGATTGCTGGTTCTCAGCAGGGAATGAGGGAATGCCCCCGAAAAAACGAAAAAGAAATCCCTTGTGGTTTCCTTTAAGGAATCCCTAGGTACATTCCCAAACTCTGGGTCATTCAGTACTGAGCACCAGCAAGTTTTGAGATCTACATGCAAGCTCATGTGACAACATGTGTTTTCCCTTTCCATGCAAGGATGGACCCACGCCTTGATTATTTCTCCCTGGCCTCCTTAGATCTACCTGCACTGCTATGTCCGCGAAGCGGTGCCTTCCAAGATGTACGTCAACCCAAGCACCGTCTCGTCTCCTGTTGAGAGACCTTTGGCGGGCTTCTTAAGACGCTGGCGACCAGCGCATGTGATCATCGCACGCCATTGCTGCGGTATAGGCATGGTGAGCTCCAACACAAAATGTACCTTCGGAATGATGCTGGTTGGTGCTTTCCCTAAACATGCTGGCGAAACCGGCTGGTTTTCAGCTGCAAAAAAAAGACTCCACCACCTTGGACGGCGCATTTCGCGCCTTTCGTGGCCCGAGCGTCTTATGGTCGCCCGATACCCCAGGTCATCTTCACGCCCTGGGCGCAGAAAGCCACGGACATCTCGGTGTACGTTGCGGAGGCCCGGAGCTGGAGCACGAAATGCGGCCTTCGGCTCCGGCTTGGGAGCTGCGCTGGCAATCGGGCGTGGGGCAAAGTGGTCTGAACTGGCAAGCCAAAAGCAGGTTGTTTCAACACAATGGTTTCAGTGGTGTTTGATTGAGCATTTCAAGCATGTTTGAACACGTGGTTTATAAGATTCTGCTTGAAATTGCCTGGCAAATTAATTTTCATAGTCCAACTATAGACCCCGAGTTTCCGCCATCACCGCTGGACTCGCACGGCCTGTTCCCAGCTTGCCGCGAGGAGGGGCACCTCATTGTTGCTTCAGCACATGCAAGTGCCTTGCTCAGCAGCACTGAGCGCGGGCAAATCGCCAGTTCAAGGGGCTGCCACCAGTTAGCAACTTGTAGGTTTGCATGGTAACTTGTATGGAAACTTGTTTGGAACAGTTAGCAACTTTCAAGGGTTTGGGTTTGGTAACTTGTAGGTTGCACTGTCGCAGAGGTTTACAGCCACTTCAAGCTCACTGGCAAGATGGCCGCCTTGAGGCGGAAGGGGATGGGGCCAAGATGCCAGCAAGCTCACGGTGGATGTTCCTTTTGGCTTTAGGGGGCCAAGTGAGACCGGAAGCGTAGTGTGCAATGAGAGACAGTTGTCATGAGAATTACTCCGCAACCACCCCTCACAAGGGATCGCAGAGCGATCGATGACCCAGCCAGAGCGATCACTTTTGATTCCACTTTGCGAGTGTTGGGGTTGGGAATTTGTGCGGCCATTCTTTGTGGAACCCGCAAGGGCGGCTCGCAGTTTGTAGCTGTTGCTGCTACCGGGCGCGCCCATGTCCGCGACGTGAGATTGGGATTGGAATGAAGCCTGCAAAGAAGCCGAAGACCAGGAAGGCCCCAGGCTCCACCAAGCCCAGGGCCAAGGTCGAGGCTAAGGCGGCGCCTCCAGACAGACCGATTACAAAGCTGATCGCAGAGGCGGAGGCTGTGGGAGAGAGATGTGTGCAGCTTCCCCGGAGTGAGCTGACGGAGGGGGATCGGGTCGTGGTGAGATACTCCTTGCTGCTGGAAGCGGCTCCGGGCTCCTTGCTCCCGCCCATCTTGCGGCTCAAGGGCTTGGGCGTCACCGGAGGGAAGAAGTTGACCCTGCGGCATGTCTCCTTGAAGCAAGGAGGAATGGGCGACTGCCTGATCGATGTCGGCCCAGGCGCTCATTTAGAGCTTATTGATTGTCATCTCGAAGGAGGAGGAATCAAGCTGCGGACTGACGCATCTGCCACTCTGGTTCGGACCTGTGTTCATGGATCCCGGTCATATGGCATTTCCGGATGTGAGTTTCGAGATCTTCAGATTCGTGAGTGCCAGATCACACACTGCGAAGGGGAGGGCATTCACTGCACGTCAGGCAAAGCATTTTCCATGTCCGACAGCAGGATAGCAAAGAGTACCCTGAGCGGCATCTTGGTGGATGGCAGACCTGGGGAGACTAGCCTTTCCTCCTGCACCCTCTCCGACAACGGCCAGTTTGGCATTTGGGTGGATTCTGGCTGCCGCGTGTCCGGGGTGCGAAACTCGCTGGCCGGAAACTCGTTAGGGGAGACTGGGGGTCGCGGCGAGACGGCAAAGAACCTGACAGTGACCTTCAGCGTTGGGGACGCTTGCAGCGTGTGGTGCGAGGAGAAGGCTGTTTGGCTGCCTGGCATGGTGACAAAGGAGGGGAACTCAACAAAAGTACACGTTTGTTTCATTGGTGATCTCCAACGAAAACATCAGGCCACGAGGTTATCAAATGAGAGGTGTGTTTTTGGCCGCAAGCTAATTTAGTAGGGCCAGGAACATCATTGTTGAAAATGCGCTCGCGCCACACGCGTGGAAGCATGCGGAAGGCTTCGCGGAAGGGATTCTTTCACGGTTTGTGGAAGCTTTATGGCTGATATATGAAATTAGTTGTTTCAGTTTGCGTGCGTGGAACAGCCTGGAGAAATATGCAACAACGCTTACTTGAAGAGCAGTTGTCAACAGGAAGCCAAGAGACCAAAACAGCCGGCTGATGTTGCGGAAGGTTTGCGGAAGGTTCGCGGAATCTGCACGGAAGCCCACGTGGCACGGGTACTTCAATTGGTCCCAAGCCTACGCAGGCTGCGGCGAAACACTACTTTCCTTACGTAAAGTGACTCTCTCCCTCTCTCTCTCTCTCCCTCTCTCTCTGCGCCTGCTCGCAGAAGCAAATCTTGTAGAACATGCGCCGCGCAAGATTTGCGGAAGCAATCAATGAAACACATGTGCCGCGGAAGTTCACCTCTTGGCCCGCGGCAAGGATGAGGAAGCAAATATGCGGAAGCTTGAGCAACGTCCAATCAAGTTTGTAGGGAATAAAGACCAACGCTCAAATGGCCATGGGTCAAAAGCCCGGTTAGCCCCCAGTGAACATCCCAATCCAACCACTTAAATAGACTGAAATGGGTGGTGCGCCTACTTGAAAATGGGATCCCATTGGTGTTGACCCACAGTCAAATGGTTTTTGTGGTTTCCTCCAGGTGCTGCAGGATTGCTGGGTGGTCCGAGCCGAGCTGCCCTCCAAGCTGGAGGTGCGCACAGAGACGGCCCCGCAGCGCAAACGTCGCTTTGGTGCATTTGGCAAGGGATGTTGGGACTTTAACTTTTTGCCAACTGATGGGGTTTCCATCAAACCACTAAAAGTTAAACTTTTCGCAGGGGAGCAGCAAGCAACCAAGGTCAGAAGGGCCCGGATGCGTCTTCCGAGGTGAAGCAGACGGAGATTCGCGCCCGCCAGGACTCAATCCGCCTGCCCAGCGGGGGAGATGAGCCTCCCAGCTGGTCCAAGAAGCTGAAGACCTACAAAAGAAGCTTTGCTGTTGGCTGACCTAACCTTTTCGTATGTTGCTCGTGCTTGATGTTTTGTCAAAGTCAGCCAAAAGCGAGACACACGCACTACCGACACACACAATGCAGGAAGGCAGAACGCCTTCAACCTCTTCCTGCGCGATGGTGGCCGGAGCACCTCTGCGTGGAAGGCCCTCGACGTGAAGGAGAAGGCGAAGTACCAGTTGAAGGCGCGCAAAGTGGACAAGGAGCAGAAGCAAAAGGCGGACAAGCCGCAGACGATTATTCAGGCCAATCAGCTGGTCAAGTCCATTGCCAAGCATAAGAAAGGACTTTCCAAGATTGAGGACTGACACTAATTCAGAAGCGGCGTGCCGCTTGTCGAGGCATTGCATGCTGTGGTGACAGGGCGTGATGCGCAGATGATGTTTGAAATCTGGGCGGAGCTTGAGCAGCTATGGCTTTTCAGACAATCCTCAGCGTATAGAGTTGTCCTCGAGCATAGGCATTGGTGTCAACCCCTCAAGAACCATCGCAAGGATTTTCCTAAATAGTACCGCTGGGCATGGCCGATGTTTCTATGGTGTTGTGTGCGTGTTGGCTGTGGACCGATTTTTCTATGTTGTGTGCGTGTTGGCTATGTTGGCCGTTGTGTATTTGTTAAAACCAAACCCCATGAGACCGTTGAAACATGTTCACCAAGCTGCCATCAAAGCAGGCGCCGCCGACTGGCCAGCACCTCAAGTTCGTCCCGAGTATTGAAGTCCACCAAACTTGGCCAAGAAAGCCCCTAAGAAAGCCGCAGAAAATTGAGCGGGTGTTTACCTCTGCCGGAAAGACAGCAATGGGACAAGGGGCTGTGCTCAATTAAAGCTTTGGTTTCACGAAAGCTGCCCAGGTTTCCAGAGGAATCCCCTGGCAATCTGCACACGGAAGTCGTTTGCCAGATTGCTTCGCTCAGGCTTGCAGGTCGGTGCCTTTGTCAATCGGCTTCGGATGCGGATTCTTGTGAGGGATAGGGAGTTCGGCAGCCGAAAGCCTCGGTATTTTCCGACGACCCGTTTCCGTTGTGCCTGAGCAACAACCAGAAGCATGAGGCAGAAGTGCTTGCACGCACGTAGGTGTTCCTGACCATAATGTATGAGCTCAAGAAAGGGACCACTCAATGCCAGACATTTGTTGTAGAAGTTGCCCTTGTGAAATTTGGAAAGCGAGCAGGGGCCAGGCTTCCCAAACTGTCCGTCCCACAGCTTCCTTCTGACTCGCAGCAGCAACCGTTTCTTTGAAGCACTCTGCGTCTTGACAGCTGAACAAAGCTGAAACTCCAATTCATCTCGGGAACAATCAAAGGCATCCTTGAATCTGATGTTTTTGTAAAGGTTGGTGGTTTCTATGTGGCAGGAAGGTCTCTTAGCTCCCATGGAGCACGAGCACTCAGGTTCAAGTGCCCATGGCACACGTGCCGGGCGGCTCAGCGAAGAGTGACTCTGGAGAAGAGAGAAGTTCAGCCAAGGAGTGGGACGCCCGCATTCTCTGCCAAGCGCAGGAGCTTGACCTTCAGCGTAAAGACAGCGATGAATCCAAACCTCTTTTAGCATTGGCATCGTTCAGCCAGCTGAGGTTGTATGAAAATAATGTTGAATTAAGTTTAGTCTTCGGAGGTTATACTGCGAAACGATAATGAGTCGACAACAGCGAGAACGATTGTGAGAAGCAGCCTTGTCAGCTGGGACAAACATAGCTTGTTGGGTAGCAAACAAGACTTGGTAGCTCAAAACAACGACAACGAAGATGATATTATTTTGCACAGAAGTGCCCTTGCCACACCTTTCCTGACATCCACACGTTTTCTGAAACGGCTGAGCACTTGCGACTTTCGAGCTGGAGCTGCCAAAGCGTCACTGGTACATGTGACGGACAGTTGCGATTTCTCGGGAGCTGCCAAACTGCATTTTGTACTGCACCTGCACTGAAACATTGAGACGTCAAAGCTCGAGCTGCCAAAGTGTACTTCTTGCACTACACTTGTACTGACAAGTTGCGATGCTCGAGCTGGAGCGGTCACAGTGTGCTTCGCGTGCTTTGAACACTTGCGATTTCCGAGCGGGAACGCTTCGTGCACTGCTCTCGAGCGAAAAGCTCGAAAGTGCAGAAAGCATTGAAAACCGATAAGGAGGGAAAAACCAAACTTGCTTTGCTTTGAACGTCTCCTCCTAAGAAGTTTGTTTGGCTAAGCTAACCACGCAGGAACAAAAGGTCAACCCGACTGCCTACTGGCTGGCTGATGCAATAGCAAACGGTCGAACAAAATGGAAACCCCAAATCAATTGCAGCCTTCGCTGTTGCCGTAACCACTCTCCGTGTTTCGTGACGATTCCCTTCGTCCATTGCACTCCGATTCTTCAAGGGGCCAGTCAAGCTGCAAGGACGAATCATTTGTAGCCCCAGGGTACAACAACATGGGCTGATAGCAGATGAACATAAGCTTCAAGTGTAGATCGTCTACAACCTCAGCTGCAACTCAAGGAGCTTCAGACTGTAACTTCTGCCGAAGTGTAGATAGGGCAGGCGCAGATCTCAGATGCTTGCACACCGTTTGCATTTCAGCCTACCGCGGCTGCGGCAATGACCGGTCATGCAGCCTAAACAGCCAGAAGCAAGGCATCCAAGAACGCAAGAGAAATGGGAGACGGGACGTCTACAGAAAAAGCAATAGAGTTAACATGTCACAGTCGAGAATGTGAGAGCGGGCCACAGCTTCCATCCATGGATGGTTCAGCCTGAGATGGCTGAGGCTGGTGCAGAACATGGTGTGAGTTGGTATGGGGCATGAGGTTGGGTGAAAATGACTGGTAGTCTATGGGAGGGACATGGGAGGCGCTGAATTTCCTTGCGGTAAAACAGGGACCGTCACACATGCTGCCGCCTGCAGGAAAAAGATAGCAAGGCCACGCTAGGAGAAGAGATTATCATTGATCCCGCTGAGGCTGGCTTACTTTGAATCTAGTGCGTGTTGCAAATTGGACGGCCTCTTGCTTGCTTGCTTGCTTGCTTGGGTATCTTCACTCGCGTGGAAAGCCAAACAGCTGCTATGTTTGTCCGACAAATATTGCCAGAGCGAGCGCAGGTAGTTGGGCTTGATGATGAGAAGCCCTTGCAAGATGATGCTCAGGCCTCAGACTGCAATGGATGTTCCAGGACAGCAAGTGCTCCTGCAGACTTTGTCATGAATGAATCTAATTGCGAGCAGTCAAGCAGGGCCTAAGCATCTGTAGCCGCCCACAAGAGAAAGGTGAAAGACTTGCCGCACCCACCCCACACCCACCACACACCATCTCACACCATCCCACACCATCCCACGCCACCCACTTCATCCACTCACAATTGACCACTCAAACTCGTTCAGCCAAGCAAGTGCATGCCCTTCGTTTGCTTGCAGCCGCCCAGCATATGGCCGTGGGTCAACACCAATGGTACCATTTTGGGGTACGTGCACTACCCATTTTAGTCTATTTTAGTCGGGATTGGGATGTTCACTGGGGGTACGGGGTTTTGACCCATAGCCACGACACATTTCCAAACAATCGAAGTCTGCTGAGGTGAAGGCTGGCAAGCGGGGCCGGGTGCTGAAAGCCTACAATGTGCTGGAAGATCCAGAGGCGCAGCTGTGCAGATCCCTTGCCACTGGCCACTTTTGGAGCCTGCGAGCTCATGTCTGAAATCAACAATAGAGGTCCAGCCGCGGCCGCTTCAGCCTTGATATCGTCCTAGGGGGACTGCCACTCGTCCGTAGACTTGTCAATCAGTACCCTTTCGATGACTGTGACCGTCGGATTCGGCGCATTCGCAAACTGGGCATGTGCCATTGGGTTTTGTGTCGCAGGTAATTGTTGTTCCCGACTTTGTCAATGAAGCTGGGCGCTGAGAGCTTGTCCGCAAGCACGCCGTGCATAGTGGCGTAGTGCCAAGTGCAAAGGTCTCTTCTTTGGCCCCCGGAAAGGTCGCACAGAATCATTGTTGGTCGGTTGCCAGCCTTGGCAGGGATTTTATGTCTGGCTAAGGCCGAGATTCAGCATTTGCTCCAGCTTGCTGAACGAGGTCCGTGGGTTTCGGCAAGGCTTTCCAGCCGGATGCACATCAGATAGGATTTGCGCAGCAGGCTGGCAGCCCTCCGAGGCCGGAATTTCAGTTTTTCCCCAACAGCTGAAAGCTTTAGGGTCTCAGCCCAGATCGGCTCCGGGGTGGTCCGGGGCGGCGCTGAGGTAAGGTTCCAGGAGGGTTCCACCAGGTTCCACCGAGGGTTCCACAAGGGCTGCGTTGCGAACACTAGAAAGAGCATCGCATGCTGTTGGGGATATCACCTGAGCTTATTTTCTTCGGAGAGCCGAGCATCTCATCCCGCCAGGTGGGCTCCGGGGTGTACAAGTCCAAAGACGAAGCCAAAGATCTGGCTGCATCCTGAGAGCAGTGCAGTCATAGGTGTCCGTTTTTTGGTTGATTTGGTTGAAAAGTAGAGGGCCCTGGTTTACCTGGTGGTTCCATCAACTATCAGGGCCATCTATTTTCCCAAAATGCACACCTATGTTTGCAGTGCACTTTGCTGCAAACCGAAACTCGCTCGGCAGCAACTTGGTGGCCAAGAGTGGTTTGTGTGTGCGTGCGCGTTGGTGCCCAATCTCCTTCTGCTTGGAGTTGCTGCCGCAATGAGTGCGAGTCTCTGGCAACATTCTAGTCAATCATGCGTGCTGCAATGAGTATAACTTATGGCGCCATGCTCGACTGTGTATCAGCCAAAAATATGGCCCCAGCTGATTGCGCTTAGTATTCGCCTACGTTCTTTTATGTCGACTGCAATCGGTGCTACGCGTGTGGGTAGGACTGCCATGATTGTGGTTAGAGCTGCCTAGCATGCGCAACCCAAGCCAGAAGTCACGTGAGTCACCAGACGGAAATGGCAACATTCAAGTTGCTGTTTGCTTCCCATCTCCAACACGATCCTGCTGCACTGGGCTCCCCCTTCAAGGGGAGTCATGGAGCAATGGGGAAGAGTTCCGTACTTCGGCTCAGGCAAACGAAGTTTCAGACATCCGTACATCCTACTCCTGCCTCATCGAGCCGGGGACCAGCAACATGGTGACAGCAGCTGGTCGCTGAGATGGTGTTTTGAGAACGTCACGTGCCAAGAATCCTTGTGTCAAGGGTGTCCTTTTGCCCTGGAAAAGACGTAAACCCCCGTGCGATTGTCTAAATGCTTGCAAGCAGAAAGAATGCTGGAGCCGCAAAGCGGTGGACATTTGTAGTAGGCTTATGTAGGCATCATGATAATGTGCAGCGCGGTTGCGCTGCCAGCGCTTTGCAGATCCACATCACATGGGACTTAGCCCCTTTTGGGTGGCTTGAAGCGGGAGGCACACTCAGCCAGCCATTTAGCCACATTTAGCTATACAGCCACAGCCCGTGTTTGCGCTGAGATCGAGTATCGGTTGGCCACTCTGGCCGCGCTGGTCTCAGTCTGCAGAGATGGGCAGGAGATCAGGAGGGAAAGGACAACTAGATAAGCCTGAATTGACTGTCGCTGTGTCTATTCTACTGCAGCTTCCATGTCTGGCATGGTGGTCCGACAGCGCCAGGACCAACAAGTTGCTTTGCGTCCTCGTAAGACAAAACAGACATACACTATCCATACTGGTAGCATTCATCATGTTTACCTTGCGGTCTTTCGAAACAAATTGTCCAGAATTTGCAGTTGCGCTTGCAAGACTGCAATCATCATGTTTGGTGTATTTCGAGAGAGGAAGAAGTAGAGAGCGAGGATGTTCTGATTCCCGATTCTTGCTCCCCTGAAAATTGGCATAGCCCCGTAGGCTTTGTACACGCAAGGTACTACCGCACTGGGAGTTGGGAACGAAGAGCCATTATTGGCTATTGTAGCCCATCAGCTCACTTCAGACGCAGGGTGGCATGTTTTGTGTGAGTTCTCAGCTTCACTGGCACAGCATGGCTGTTTGTTTTTCCCGAACTTTGCACGAAGTCGTAAGGCGCAACAACGCCATGCGATGGATAAGAGTAGCATGTCCTGCTCCATTTCCCAGGGTATGGATGTGAAGCACTTGGAGCCGTTGAACATGGTCAGGCACGTTCTGCGAGTTCCTTTCACTAGACATGCAATTGCTGACCTAGAGGTATGCGCCTGGACAGTTCTTCAAGGAGCACCATGACGGGCGTTTCCGTTGAATCCTGAGTTCCCTTTCCGTGTCAGAGTAGCCTTGATTCTGGCATACCAGGGTTGAAGCATGACGTTCAGCGGCAGAAAAAATGCGCATGCATATGTCTGCTTGCTTCCCGGCCCACTCCGAGGTCCAAAGACGGTGTTCCTCTACTTGAATGACGTACCGCAGGGGCCTTGAGCATGTTGGCACCGAGTGCGCAGCTACCAGCAAAGGCCAGGAGAGGGCGGTGAGACGATGTTCCCAGATCTGAATGTGAAGGCGCCAAAGGGAGATGCTTGCAGCTGGGACCTGCGGACCTGCTCCTTTAACGTCCATTGTGTGTTTGTTGCGGCGCTTGTAAAAACCACTCTGCAGCTTGGGGGGCTGAGTCTCTTGGCAATGTCTTAATCTTGATTTGCCAAGCGAAGGGACCGGCCTTTTCGGTTGACCGGCCTTTTCAAATTCAGGGCGGCCAATTTGCGATTGACAGGCCTTTCCGGCCAAACAACTCCAGGCTGTCTTTCTTTTTTGCGGCCTGTTGGGTTGACAGGCCTTTCCGCTAAGAAACTCAGGGCTCAATTTCTTGGTGCGGTTGAATGCTTTATCTGCAAATTTTGCCAAACAAATAGTCTAAGAGGGGGATCAATTTCTTATCCGCAAGAGCAGTTCCAATCTACATGGTTGGCAAATCTCAGCCCCTCAATTTCTCGTCCATCAATTTCTTTTACAGCGCTTGCGCTGCAATGGCGATGCTATTTATCATGAAGCATGCAGTTGAAACTCCTTTTTTTCTTCCGACTCAAAACGACCCATGGGCGCGTTGCAGATTGTTCCCCGACGCGGCTGTGCTGCCTTCAGCTCGGATTGGTGGGCTGAGCATGCACGGCTGATGAGCATAGTATCAGGCGAGCAGCTTTTTTTTCTGGATGAAGGCCCACATCTTTGCGGCGACTTTTTTTGCATGTTGCGTAGGCGTTTGACTGACAGGGCCACCACCGCGTAGGCTCGCGTAGGCATTTCGCGGAGGCTCGTGCTGCGAAGCTTGGCGTAGGCAGTCGCGTAGCCGACCGCTTATGAGCTTGAATGTTGAGCATTGCTGTTATGCAAGACATGGTTGTGTTAGCGGCAGTTTGGCGCAAGCCGTGGGTAGCAGCTTTTCGTCAGCTGTTGGCAGCATGGCAGCGCAAGCTGGCGGTCGCTGGCGGAGGGAGGACGAGGTCCGCTTGTCCAGCAGTGCAGCTGGCGACTCGTACTGCGGCTCGGCTGTAGTAGACCCGTTGCGCTAATAGCTAAAGAGCGTTCTCCGATTTGGGGGTTGATCAAAAGGTCCTTGCAAGGAGTTATGTATTCGGTGACCGTTCGTCTTTGTTTAAATCCCTCCGCGAAAGATCGGCGATGGAGTTCGCGAAAGAAACTTTATTTTTTGCGAAAGATTCCGCGTTGGGTTCTTGGAGGCATCCTGTGCACTTGCATGTTTGCGGGCCCTGCTCCCTTGTAGACAGGGAGATGCGCAGCACTTATACTTGCATTATTGATTCTCATTCCTGTGTTGGGAATGGTGCAAACCAATAACGTTGGCTGGGCTATTTTGGAGCAAGTTTCGCGAAAGATCCGCGAAAGACCGGCGAAAGTCCATGGAGCTTGTTGCAAGGTTCCGCGCTTCCCCGGCAAGCGCAAGTGACAAGGGCGAATGACGGTGACTGCTTTCTTTTAACGCTACTGCAAGCCTGCCAGCGCAAGTGAACTGTGGCTATTACTGTGTTTGCAAGCACAGCTGCAGTAGCCACAATGGCTCCAGAGCGCACGCTGCAAACAAAAGGGCGTGGCGATGGAGTCGCGAAAGATTCGCGAAAGAAACTTTTTTCTCGCGAAGATGGCGTTTTCCGGAAACAGGAATATTGATCAACAAAGAAAGAAAGAAAAAAAACGGGGCGCCGCGTAGGCTCCGCGTAGGCTTCGCGTAGGCATTTCGTCTAGAATCTGACTGGAGGCCCTTCGTGGCAGCCACTGCAGCCTACCGCAGCCGACTTCAAACTCGTCTTCTTCGTGACCTTCCACCATGCTCCTGTCCAAGCCCGGTCGCAACGAACCTCTCCGTAGCCGAGCGAAAAAGCGCGTTGAGCTCCTTGTTGCCGCGTAGGGCTTTTGTGGGACTGTTGCGTTCGCTCAGGCGTGCTGTAGGCGCCGCGTATGCAAGCAACAAATGATAAGGACCACGCCATGAAAAAAGCGCTGCTCAGGTGATGTGGAGCAACATCATTGGCCCTCAGCAGGAGGACAACCGAATGGTGCGCCCGTTTGACCTTGTGTTTTGCACATATCCCATGGTCGATCCTTTGGATAGAGATGGTCATTCACCTTTGCTACTTCAAGGGGGTTTTGCGTCGACCCCAATGTAAGGCCTCCAGCAAGAAAGCGACCATGGCACACATGCTTACTGGTCTATCACTTTGAATGATGCAGCCTTTTGGCTTAGCAGCACGTGCGGGTCCAGACACTTTGAATCTGCGTCCAGAAGCCTGAGCTGCGATCAGATGGTGGCCTGGCTATTTTCAGGGATGGGTGAATCAGCGCAAACGGAGCATTGGCTCGACCGCAGCTCAATAGCTTGACTCGCATGGCCGTGTTTGTGTGCGCTTGACAACTTTGCACCCCTGTAGGTAATGCTTTCAGGCGCTCAATGGCTTAATGGCTTTTGTGTGTGTAAACAAAATAGGCGGCAGTGTTGTGTTCTTCTTGTTAGAAGAATCAAAGGAAACAAATCGGAGCCCGCATGTTGACACATTCCCGGAAATGGTCATGGCACGAACAAGCTTGCAACCACGGCCAGCCACTAAGCAGTTTTAGGCGTGACGATGGCCCAGCTTGTTTGAAAGTGACTGCTTTGCGAGCATTTGTCAAGCTGCCAAGCAACGAAGGGTTGCGACCATGGCATGTTTCACGTTCAGGGAGGCTTTCTTTGTGCACAGCCCGTTGATGCCGCAAGCCACATTGCTTGGTATGCATACATCTATAATTTGTATATATATATACATGTCACAAGGGGGGATGAAGAAGTCTTGGGTCATCCACCAATTTTGGCGGCTACATTTGTCGCGTGCACCAATGTCCGAGGAGCTCAAGGCGGCGTTGCTGCTTTTGTGCGTCGCGGCATCAGCATCACCGACGGCCCGGGGGCTCAGAGCAGCGCCATAAACACTGACAATACAAAGTAGTAAAGGGGGGTGTCCTATAGAATCCCCGCGAAAGCCAAAACGCAGGCTGCAAAAGCTTGCGAAAGCTTATCACGAAAGTAACCAAAGAAGGTCCCGCCGCGAAAGACCCGCGAAAGCCTGCATGCTGTGTGACAGTCCGCCGCGAAAGCGTCGTGAAAGCAATTGTACAGAGAACAAAGCCCGCGAAAGCAAAACATGGGGTCGCGAAAGGGTCCGCGAAAGCAAGTTAATAGGACCACTTTTTGCACAAGAGTATTTTGCATGAGATGTGAGGATTTTTCAGAGTCAGAACCCCCTCAAAAGTGCTTGGTGGACGCAAAGCCCCACCTGAATGCTGTCCAACAAAGAGTTCTCCATTTCAATTCACCCCGTCTCGATTGTTCGCGGGTTGCCCTGTTGGAATGAAAGGGGGGCGTGCAACTATACAAGTATAGAACACACTGGTTTGGCTTTGCAGAGGCAATTGAGTCTGGTGGGAGTCTTTGATTGTCTTGGGGCAGGTTGTCATGCACGTGAAAAGTCAAACACTGATACGATACGTTTGATGGGCTGCGATTAGACTGAGTGGTTGGCCTGTGATGAGGTATACCAGCGAAGATATTTTGCGGGTAGGCAGTACTTGCGATATGAACTTCGTCAAACAATTCCACTGGAATCAAGTTGAATCTTGAGCTTGTCTTGAAGTGGAGAGCCGACGGACCGCAACACCTGTGTGCTGAGGGCCGCACACTCAGGGGCGAGGCGTGACAAGATTCGCGGGAGAACTGGTGCAAGGTTTCACCTCAGAACAGAGCCACATTGTGCTCAGCCTGTTTGTAGTTGTGGACATTTTTTTGCTGGGCATGAGAGAAAGGTTACCTTATCTCATTTTTGAGGGCCTGGATACCTTTCTTTAGGTGGTGAATTGCAATGTGCGTTGAGATTCGATGGACTCCGCGTTGACTTGCAACATGTCTGAGCCGCGCCAGGGCTCCAACGTATCCTGGCCGGCCAACGGGACCCTTCAACATGGCCGCTGGGCAGTGGGTTGCCAGCGGTCGGTGAACGGAAGCGATGGCCCTTGGCCCATGAGAACCCCTAGTCCATTTGAGATCACGGCTGGGGTGAGTTCCCTCCTCTTTGGTTCCTCAGCATTGCAGCTGTTGCCCGCATGCGCATGAGTGATACTGTGGATGGACGAAATCCTGCACCACCTAAGAAATCCTGGAATGATGATTCCAATGTAAATACCAACAAACAATGGTTTCCCATGGTTTCTTAGGTGGTGCGAAATGGATTTTGTCCATCCACAGTAGCTCCGAGGCAATCACACAGCCTTCAGCCCCGAGAACTTCACCGCTTACTTGCTGGACGGCTTCCGCGCCTTCGCGAAAGCTGTTGGTGCGGAGTCCATGTTCAACAACACGCTGGCCGAGGAGAAACGACTCGGAGTTGCACGAGGGCTTTGGGTCTCAGCCTGGATTGATGGGGCTGCAACAAGGGGACGAAATAGACTAGTCATTGAGTTTGTTGAATCAACAATTGAACACATGAAGCGACGATTGCTTGGTTCAGGAGAAGTCCAAGAATTGCCTTTGCATCTTTGACATCGATCGGACACTCACCGGAAAACAGGAGGATAGAAGATGCTCAGGCAACAAAGTGATCCATGGAACCTATGATGATGCCTATGGCGGTGGTGCGCTGACCCTTTCACACTTGGGCCAGCATGTTTGGGGCACCTTCTGTGGGTCCTGTCACGTGAGAGCCATCACTGCTCATCACCGGTACCGGCAAAATATTCCAGTGCAGCAGAGTGTGATCAACTGCGACAAGGGGTGCAAGGCATATAAGGCTGGGAAGATGGCAGAGAGCATGGGCATCTCCAAGTCAGAGGTATACATGTTTGACGACAAAGCCAGCAATGTCCGTCCATTCTACGGCACCGGCATGAACGCACATCAGGTGTCCTGCCACAGCAGGGAGGGCAGCCGCGGCTTATGCGGCGGAAAGTCGAGTGAAGTCAGCAAGCGGAAAGGGGTCTCGACTTGTCGGTGAAGCGCACGCGACATAATTCGCCCATGGTCATCATGGGGCTGGTTGCACTTGTTTCGCTCACTAGAGCCAAACATGTGTGCAGGGGAGAGGAGCTCTCAACCTTTGCACGCATGGCATGCTAGCTTCGCCTCGTTTTGGCGGACTGGTGAGAGAGGGTTGTGACTCAGTTGTGACAGGTAGGTTTTATGGCGCTGTTGCCTATGTTCCCTGGCTGGCTGTTTGAGTTCTGAAAGAAGCATGTTTGCGTTGCCGGTGTCCACCCTCGATCCTGGAAATTAGATGTCGATTCCGACGGCACCTCGGAAACGTGAAGCGTGGGTGTGCCGCGGAATGCGACCCGGCCGCGGAATGCGACCCGGCCTCGCTGAATGATCGATCAGTGAAAGGCCTTAAATGTGTAGAGTCGAGCCTGGACAAGCTACACTTGGTATACTGTAGATAGAGCTCCATCACATGCCGGGTCTTTTAATCGTGAAGACCTAGCAGCCGCAGAGCCAAAAAGCATTGCCCGGTTCAGCCTGGCCATGCTCAAAATGGACTGGTCCTCCCACTCCTTCGCAGGTGCATCAAGGCCTTCCGCCCAAGGCCACGATCAAGTATGGCCCATCTCTCCAGACAGAAATCAGATATGCCCGTGGGTCAAAACCAATGGTACGATGTTGGGGTTGCACCACCAATTTTTTGTCTATCTTAGTGGGGATTGGGATGTTCACTGGGGGTACGGGCTTTTGACCCAGGATCATGTTAAAAAGACATGACAGGAAGAGAACCTCGCCTCGATGACACGGAGCTTGTATAGATCTAAGGTGTGAACTGCTTCTTCAACGACAAGCCCATGCGCCGCTTTGTTGAAGGCCAGCAAGCAGTCGGCAGCCGCAACTCATTTCAAGCAGGGACACTCCCGCCTTTGTCTATGTTTTTGCATCCTCGGGTGAATGCTGTTCAGTCGTCGCCGTCACCTGCTCGTGGGCTGCCTCCCTGTAGTGCGTTGGTGTGTGCTTCGTGCAGGTGAAGATACCAAGCCCAAGCCCAGCCCTGGACCTCAGACATGTGAATCCTCCGCAAGCAAAGCGACCGAGCACAAGCTGAATTGCGCCATTGGTTGGAGCTGCTCTGCATATGGCATGACAGGATGCAGAGAACCAGAAAAGGATGGCCCATGACCCCCAAAACGCCAATAGACTAGAACAAGCCGAGTGAAGCAGAGGGAAGTCGCAAAATGGATGGCCTGAGTACACCAGTTGCAAGTTGCGAGTGAGTGCAAGCCTCCATCAGCTAATTTTCAGCAAGCCGAACAGTAGCACTGGCAGCGCGTCCCTTTGGAGGCGAAGCAAAGGTCTCGATTCTGGATCCCCTGGACATCGTACAACGGTGTCCTGTTCCGGTGGCGTGGCTCAGCTTGCCAACCTTGCGACGGGTCCAAGATCCTAAAAGCGTTTGCTTGATTGCCCCTCGTTTGCTGATGGATGTTCTTAAAGAGACGGTGGGGTTTTACAGAGGATCGGTGCTCTTAACATCCAGAAGACAGTTTGTTGCGGCCATGCCATTACTTTTGGCGTTTGAGCGAGGCGACAAAGGATGCAAGGGCGGACCCAGATGCAGGCAGCATGGCAAGTGGGTTGCAACCCATTCCACACAAAATCCAGCTGGCTGCAGCCAGAGTCAAGCACTTTGTGCGAAACATCTGCAAACTGTGACAGCTCGGTCCCCTGTACAAGCTATACCATTAGGGCTCTAAGGTGGGTCCCTGGAATTCTGCTGAACATTTCATGGCATTCACCGAGAGCTCTTTTGCCAGGAATCTTGAGCCTTGGGGTATAGAAAGCCCTGACTGACTACTTGTAGGAGGACATGTACTACTGGTCAGCTTGTGTACCAGAAAGAAGGGACGCTTCGGGAGACCCCGTGCGACGAGATCACTGCGGTTGTGGCTCCTTTCTGGAAGTTCTCGGGAGGGTGTGCAACAAAGATTTGCGTAGCGCCGCGAAAGAACTGTTGCGACCCTTATCTTGAAAGGCTGTATTTGCAAGGTGTCATGCAGGCCACACCAAATGATGATCCTGGGCTCCAAGCAGTTTACAGACTTAACTTCTTGTTGCCGCTGTTGTTTGGCAAAAGGCCCCCATGAATGTCGAGGACTCTCGTTGGGCGAGGCCCTTCCGAACATGCAGTGTCACCAAGATGTTATGTGGCAGGACCTCGATGGTCAGCTCTTGCTTAGGGTTGACAGCAAACCGAGTCTTGTAATGTAAAGGGCACGGGGATTGTGTTGTGCAAAATCTGCGAACAGTTCGTGTTGGCAGGTGCAAATTCTTAAATGATGTGTATGAATTTGGAGGGCCCCGGCTGTTTAGCAAATTGCCTCGATAGATCCAATGTGTGTTTGTTCCCCACATCTTTGTGTGGGGTTCTTACTTTTTCCGCTCGTCGTCCGCGCGCCGCGTCTCCTCCTCCTTCTCCCGCTCGTCTCCGTCTCACTCACTCACTCACTCACTCACTCACTCTCACTCACTCACTTACACTCACTCAACTCACACTCACTCACTCACACTCACTCACTCACACTCAGTCACTCACACTCACTCACACTCACTCACACTCACTCACTCACACTCAGTCACTCACACTCACTCACACTCACTCACTCACACTCACACTCACTCACTCACTCACTCACGCTCACTCACACTCACTCACTCACACTCACTCTCATTCACTCACTCTCATTCACTCACTCACTCACTCACTCGCTCACTCACTCACTCACACTCGCTGACTCACGGCAGCTGTCTAGAGGGACAGGATGTTGTCGCGCGCGCGGCGGGGGGCGTGCGAAATCGTGGCAGGCGCAGCACTTTGGCGATGCCGTTGCGAAATCGTGGCAGGCGCAGCACTTTGGCGATGCCGTTGCCGAAGTCGTGGCAGGCGCAGCATTCTGTGCATCTGGGTGTGTGTTTGTGTGGCAGGGGTCGCATTCGGCAGCTGTCTAGAGGGACAGGATGTTGTCGCGCGCGCGGCGGGGGGTGTGCGAAATCGTGGCAGGCGCAGCACTTTGGCGATGCCGTTGCGAAATCGTGGCAGGCGCAGCACTTTGGCGATGCCGTTGCCGAAGTCGTGGCAGGCGCAGCATTCTGTGCATCTGGGTGTGTGTTTGTGTGGCAGGGGTCGCATTCGGCAGCTGTCTAGAGGGACAGGATGTTGTCGCGCGCGCGGCGGGGGGTGTGCGAAATCGTGGCAGGCGCAGCACTTTGGCGATGCCGTTGCGAAATGTGGCAGGCGCAGCACTTTGGCGATGCCGTTGCCGAAGTCGTGGCAGGCGCAGCATTCTGTGCATCTGGGTGTGTGTTTGTGTGGCAGGGGTCGCATTCGGCAGCTGTCTAGAGGGACAGGATGTTGTCGCGCGCGCGGCGGGGGGTGTGCGAAATCGTGGCAGGCGCAGCACTTTGGCGATGCCGTTGCGAAATCGTGGCAGGCGCAGCACTTTGGCGATGCCGTTGCCGAAGTCGTGGCAGGCGCAGCATTCTGTGCATCTGGGTGTGTGTTTGTGTGGCAGGGGTCGCATTCGGCAGCTGTCTAGAGGGACAGGATGTTGTCGCGCGCGCGGCGGGGGGTGTGCGAAATCGTGGCAGGCGCAGCACTTTGGCGATGCCGTTGCGAAATCGTGGCAGGCGCAGCACTTTGGCGATGCCGTTGCCGAAGTCGTGGCAGGCGCAGCATTCTGTGCATCTGGGTGTGTGTTTGTGTGGCAGGGGTCGCATTCGGCAGCTGTCTAGAGGGACAGGATGTTGTCGCGCGCGCGGCGGGGGGTGTGCGAAATCGTGGCAGGCGCAGCACTTTGGCGATGCCGTTGCGAAATCGTGGCAGGCGCAGCACTTTGGCGATGCCGTTGCCGAAGTCGTGGCAGGCGCAGCATTCTGTGCATCTGGGTGTGTGTTTGTGTGGCAGGGGTCGCATTCGGCAGCTGTCTAGAGGGACAGGATGTTGTCGCGCGCGCGGCGGGGGGCGTGCGAAATCGTGGCAGGCGCAGCACTTTGGCGATGCCGTTGCGAAATCGTGGCAGGCGCAGCACTTTGGCGATGCCGTTGCCGAAGTCGTGGCAGGCGCAGCATTCTGTGCATCTGGGTGTGTGTTTGTGTGGCAGGGGTCGCATTCGGCAGCTGTCTAGAGGGACAGGATGTTGTCGCGCGCGCGGCGGGGGGTGTGCGAAATCGTGGCAGGCGCAGCACTTTGGCGATGCCGTTGCGAAATCGTGGCAGGCGCAGCACTTTGGCGATGCCGTTGCCGAAGTCGTGGCAGGCGCAGCATTCTGTGCATCTGGGTGTGTGTTTGTGTGGCAGGGGTCGCATTCGGCAGCTGTCTAGAGGGACAGGATGTTGTCGCGCGCGCGGCGGGGGGTGTGCGAAATCGTGGCAGGCGCAGCACTTTGGCGATGCCGTTGCGAAATCGTGGCAGGCGCAGCACTTTGGCGATGCCGTTGCCGAAGTCGTGGCAGGCGCTGCATTCTGTGCATCTGGGTGCTCTGTAATCGCATCCATACAAGGGGCGCACGGTACATGTGTGTGGACATTTGGGAAAAACATAGCATGTGGGGTTATCCGGTCCTTTAATTAGTGGACCCGAAAACTTGCTGGTGCTCAGGGAACGAGGGAATGATCTTGTTATCAGCCTGCCCTTCATGCCCGAATACTCCCCATCGCACCAGCCAGAATAGTGGGTGGTTCCTTTGGTGTCTCTAGCGTGACCCATGAAACCAGCCCTAAACCGGGTGCCACTTAGCCACGTAGGCCTGCGCCTGCGAAGACTGCGGGTCTCCCAGGACCCCGCGCTGTCCGGATCCCCGAGCTCTGATCCCAACCAGAAATCTTGAAATCGCTGGACGGTGCTTGATGCATGTGACTTGATTTTTTTTAACTTTCGGGTCAAGTTAACACCGAAACAGTTCGGCGTTGCTCACTGTCACTCCTCTAGCTGCCTTGCTTGCGGCCTGATGCCTTTCTCCAACTTTTCTCGTGCCCTGAAGCAGGCAACCCCCATATTTGGCCAAAGTGCCGAAAGGCATAAAGACCTTGCTCGTGAAAATGGCCGGCTGGACAATAAGACTTGACTGCCAGCAAGTAGCAGTTCCTCTGATTAGCAAGCTTCCTTGTGATAACGGCTCTGAGGTTGCTCACTTGCGCCTTTCTTTCCAGCGATATCCCTCTAGCTGTGTCTGGTGAATCCCATGCGTCGCCACCTTCCGGCAGTACCCCCCAAGTGGTCTGAGCGCCGAAACCGCAGTGAAATGGGCATGCTTTCGCAGGCAGGCCAACAGGCTCAAGCCTAAGCCCCATAGCATCGCCAGCGTGGCCCCTTGCGATTCTACAAACCTGTAAGCCTTGCACCCATTTTTTCCATTTATTTTGCGTTCTCCAACTAACCATGGAACTCATTCACTGCATTCTTTTCAGAAGGTGAGTCATAATTTCATAGTCAAAACCCGGTATTAAAATGGTCGTAATCCCAGAACCGTGTAAAGAACACCATTTCACGATTGCATCTTCGTCGATGGGACGGGGTCGGAGTGAACGGATTGAGAGGTGGCTGGTGCCCGACGTCATCAGCTCCAGGGAAGCTGGCGCCTTTTGCCTGCTTATGGTCTACAGGTCCCGTCGAGGGATTTGCTGGTTCAGTTGCTCTTACTTCCACACGAATACCAGAGTCACAATATGTGACAGAGACAACATATTCCTGCACCGGATTTCGGGCATTTGCTGTTGGTGCCAGTCGACGTATGCTCATAGACACTCCAGCTGATAGAAACCCGAGATGCGTAGCTTTTGCCCCCAAGAGATCTGCGCCAAACCTTGCTGCTTGAGGCACATCCATGGCCAATCCTCGACATATCACGGGATACGTGGTTGGGAAGTTAAGACGGGCAGTGCTGTAACTGCTGTGCCCACTCAAGTCCTATGAACCAAGGACTAATTGTTCAAGTCGTCAGCGCTGATTGTTCTTAAGCGGAATTCGCCCTAAGACTTAAAGGTGATATCAGGAGGCAAGTCTTTCTTTTGCTTTAAGGTGGCCAAGTGGACAGCAAAATGCTGTGCCAGGGCAGCTGATGGACATGATGGACCGCCAGCAGGGCCGCACGCCCGCCGGTGGCTTTCGCGTAGAAGGAGACGAGCCTGGCGCTCAGTTCAAGAAACTCCGAGGTGAGGAGTGGTGGGCCTCCTGAAATGAATATGAGTCAAAATTAAGCCACCAGGGGACCGCAGGTTTTAGTCCATGTTACCACTTACAGGGTTCAATTTTGGGTACCTGTTTTTGACCCACAGCCAAATGAACTCCAAAGCAGTGGAATCCATCAACTCCAGTCATTTCCATTCGCTTCCTGGGCTATGAATTTCAATAGGGAGTCCCCATGGATATCAGCCGAGCGACTCAGGGATCTGCAGGAGCTCTTGGCAGACCTGGAAGCGAGACTGGCTGCGGCGGCAGGTCGGCAGGTCACGTGAGTGACGTGAAGCTGTTGAGAGCTGGTGCTCGGGTTTTCCTCAGAGAGGTCTGGCAGTTTGGCCATTTGGCTGTGGGTCAAAACCAATGGTATCATTTTGGGGTAGGTGCACCACCCATTTTACTCTATACAAGTAAGGTCCGGCAGAGCCGGGGGGCGGAAGTTTCAAAGCAGTGAACAACTATAGTTTGGAGAACTGTCCTTGGCCCCTTGCTTCTCTTTCTCTCTGTCTTTTTCTCTCTTTCTCTCTTTCTCTCTTTCTCTTTCTCTTTCTCTTTCTGTTTCTCTGTCTCTTTCTCTCTCTTTCTATCTATCTCTCTAGCTATCTCTATATCTGTTTATTGATCTATCTATCTACCCATCTTTCTCTGCACTTAAAAGTTGCGATGTTCAATCCCCGAAAGTTGACTTCGCGTACTACTTTCGTACTTAAAAGTTGCGATTTTCGAGCCCCAGCTGCGAAACTGGACTTCACGTACTACTTTCGTAGTTAAAAGTTGCGATTTTCGAGCCCCAGCTACGAAAGTGGACTTCGCGTACTACTTTCGTACTAAAAAGTCGCGATTTTCGAGCCCCAGCTGCGAAAGTGGACTTTGCGTACTACTTTCGTACTTAAAAGTTGCGATTTTCAAGCCCCGGCTGCGAAAGTGGACTTTGCGCACTACTTTCGTACTTAAAAGTTGCGATTTTCAAGCCCCAGCTGCGAAAGTTGACTTCGCGTACTACTTTCGTACTTAAAAGTTGCGATTTATCTATAGATCTACCTATCTATCTACCTCTCTATCTCCTATCTATCTATCTACCTCTCTATTTATTTATCTCTCTATCTCTTTATCTATCTAGCTAGTTATTTGTCTATCTATCTACAAATCTATCTATCTCTGTCTATCTCTGTTTCTCTATCTCTTTCTATCTATTTCTCTAGCTATCTCTATATCTGTTTATTGATCTATCTATCTACCCATCTTTCTCTGCACTTAAAAGTTGCGATGTTCAATCCCCGAAAGTTGACTTCGCGTACTACTTTCGTACTTAAAAGTTGCGATTTTCAAGCCCCGGCTGCGAAAGTGGACTTTGCGCACTACTTTCGTACTTAAAAGTTGCGATTTTCAAGCCCCAGCTGCGAAAGTTGACTTCGCGTACTACTTTCGTACTTAAAAGTTGCGATTTTCGAGCCCCGGCTGCGAAAGTTGACCTTGCAAAAATGCTGCGCCTGCCACCAAATGTGTGCTTGACCTTGCTAAAGTGCTGCGCCTGCCACAAAATCTGTACTTGACCTTGCGAAAGTGCTGCGCGTGCCACGAATTTTGCACTTGACCTTGCGAAAGTGCTGCACCTGCCACAAATTCTGTACTTGACCTTGCGAAAGTGATGCGCCTGCCACGAATTTTGTACTTGACCTTGCGAAAGTGCTGCGCCTGCACACCTTGCGAAAGTGCTGCGCCTGCCACGAAATCGATACTTGACCTTGCGAAAGTGCTGCGCCTGCCACGAAATCTATACTTGACCTTGCGAAAGTGCTGCGCCTGCCACGCAATTCAAACCTTGCGAAACCTTCGCGCGGCCGTGCCAATGGGCCCGTCTCCGAACCCGTTCCGAACGAGACCGTTCCGAGACCGTTCCGAGACCGCCTCCGTACAGGCGTCGCAGCCGAGGTGGTTTGCGCACAGTCCGGAAGCCCAATTCACGCACAGCGCCAACGTTTTCTGCATCTTGCCATCCCCCAGCTCGCAGAGAGTGGACGCAGCACGTGTGCTGCGCCTGCCACGAAATCGATACTTGACCTTGCGAAAGTGCTGCGCCTGCCACGAAATCTATACTTGACCTTGCGAAAGTGCTGCGCCTGCCACGAAATCGATACTTGACCTTGCGAAAGTGCTGCGCCTGCCACGAAATCTATACTTGACCTTGCGAAAGTGCTGCGCCTGCCACGCAATTCAAACCTTGCGAAACCTTCGCGCGGCCGTGCCAATGGGCCCGTCTCCGAGACCGTTCCGAACCCGTTCCGAGACCCCGCCTCCGTACAGGCGTCGCAGCCGAGGTGGTTTGCGCACAGTCCGGAAGCCCAATTCACGCACAGCGCCAACGTTTTCTGCATCTTGCCATCCCCCAGCTCGCAGAGAGTGCTTGCGAAAGTGCTGCGCCTGCCACGAAATCTATACTTGAGAAAGCTATCTACGTGTTAAGCTGGCTATATGTCAAAGCTATCTATCTGTCATGCAAGCCTATTGGAAAGCTATCTATCTGTCAAGCTAGCTATATGTCAAAGCTATCTATCTGTCATGCAAGCCTATTAGGAAAGCTATCTATCTAAGTCAAGCTAGCTATATGTCAAAGCTATCTATCTGTCATGCAAGCCTATTGGAAAGCTATCTATCTGTCAAGCTAGCTATATGTCAAAGCTATCTATCTGTCATGCAAGCCTATTGGAAAGCTATCTATCTGTCAAGCTAGCTATATGTCAAAGCTATCTATTTGTCATGCAAGCCTATTGGAAAGCTATCTATCTGTCAAGCTAGCTATATGTCAAAGCTATCTATCTGTCAAGCTAGCTATATGTCAAAGCTATCTATTTGTCATGCTAGCTACCTGTCATAGCTATATGTCAAAGCAGCTAGCTCATTTAGTTCCAGTACTACGGAAGTTTCTTGTTAAACTTCCTTTGATTAGTGACTATTATTAGTGGGGATTGGGATGTTCACTGGGGGTACGGGATTTTGACCCATGGCCATTTTATCTTCAGTCCGTCCAGTTGGCAGGTTGGCCATGGAGGTATCCTCAACATCCAGCCAACACGAGGGGTCCTTCTGGTTTTCGTTGTTCAGAAGCTCACCAGAGGGGTGTTTGTGTGTGGTGTGTGTGTGTGTTGGTGTGTGTTGGTGTGTGTCGGTGTGTGTCGGTGTGTGTTGGTGTGTGTTGGTGTGTGTTGGTGTGTGTTGGTGTGTGTTGGTGTGTGTTGGTGTGTGTGTTGGTGTGTGTGTGTTGGTGTGTGTTGGTGTGTGTTGGTGTGTGTGTTGTTGTGTGTGTGTGTTGGTGTGTGTGTTGGTGTGTGTGTTGGTGTGTGTGTTGGTGTGTGTGTTGGTGTGTGTTGGTGTGTGTTGGTGTGTGTGTTGGTGTGTGTTGGTGTGTGTTGGTGTGTGTTGGTGTGTGTTGGTGTGTGTTGGTGTGTGTTGGTGTGTGTTGGTGTGTGTTTTGGCGTGTGTTGGTGTGTGTTGTGTGTGTGTGTTGGTGTGTGTTGGTGTGTGTTGGTGTGTGTTGGTGTGTGTTGGTGTGTGTTGGTGTGTGTTGGTGTGTGTTGGTGTGTGTTGGTGTGTGTGGTGTGTGTTGGTGTGTGTTGTGTGTGTGTTGGTGTGTGTGTGTTGGTGTGTGTGTGTTGTGTGTGTGTTGGTGTGTGTGTGTGTGTGTGTTGGTGTGTGTTGGTGTGTGTGTGTGTTGGTGTGTGTGTGTTGTGTGTGTGTGTGTGTGTGTGTGTGTGTGTGTGTGTGTGTGTGTGTGTGTGTGTTGTGTGTGTGTGTTGGTGTGTGTGTGTGTGTTGTGTGTGTGTGTTGGTGTGTGTGTGTGTGTGTGTGTGTGTGGTGTGTGTGTGTGTTGGTGTGGGTGTGTTGGTGTGGGTGTGTTGGTGTGTGTTGGTGTGGGTGTGTTGGTGTGGGTGTGTGTGGGTGTGTGTTGGTGTGTTTTGGTGTGTGTGTGTGTGTGTGTGTTGGTGTGTGTGTGTTGTGTGTGTGTGTGTGTTGGTGTGTGTGTTGGTGTGTGTGTGTTGGTGTGTGTGTGGTGTGTGTGTGTGTGTGTGTGTGTGTGTGTGTGTGTGTGTGTGTGTGTGTTGGTGTGTGTGTTGGTGTGTGTGTGTTGGTGTGTGTGTTTGTGTGTGTGTTGGTGTGTGTGTTGTGTGTGTGTTGGTATGTGTGTTGGTGTGTGTGTTGGTGTGTGTTGTGTGTGTGTGTGTGTGTGGTGTGTGTGTGTGTGTGTGTGTGTGTGTTGTGTGGTGTGTTGTGTGTGTGTTGTGTGGGTGTGTTGGGTGTGTTGGTGTGGGTGTGTGTTGGTGTGTGTTGTGTGTGTGTGTGTTGGTGTGTGTTGGTGTGTGTTGGTGTGTGTTGGTGTGTGTTGGTGTGTGTTGGTGTGTGTTGGTGTGTGTTGGTGTGTGTTGGTGTGTGTTGGTGTGTGTTGGTGTGTGTTGGTGTGTGTTGGTGTGTGTTGGTGTGTGTTGGTGTGTGTTGGTGTGTGTTGGTGTGTGTTTGTGTGTGTTGGTGTGTGTGTGTTGTGTGTGTGGTGTGTGTTGGTGTGTTGGTGTGTGTTGGTGTGTGTTGGTGTGTGTTGGTGTGGGTTGGTGTGGGTTGGTGTGTGTTGGTGTGTGTTGGTGTGTGTTGGTGTGTGTGTGTGTGTGTGTGTGTGTGTGTGTGGTGTGTGTGTGTGTTGGTGTGTGTTGGTGTGTGTTGGTGTGTGTTGGTGTGTGTGTGTGGTGTGTGTTGGTGTGTGTTGGTGTGTGTTGGTGTGTGTTGGTGTGTGTTGGTGTGTGTTGGTGTGTGTTGGTGTGTGTGTGTTGTGTGTTGTGTGTTGGTGTGTTGGTGTGGTGTGTGTGTGTTGGTGTGTGTTGGTGTGTGTTGGTGTGTGTTGGTGTGTGTTGGTGTGTGTTGGTGTGTGTTGGTGTGTGTTGGTGTGTGTTGGTGTGTGTTGGTGTGTGTTGGTGTGTGTTGGTGTGTGTTGTGTGTGTTGGTGTGTGTTGGTGTGTGTTGGTGTGTGTTGGTGTGTGTTGGTGTGTGTTGGTGTGTGTTGGTGTGTGTTGGTGTGTGTTGGTGTGTGTTGGTGTGTGTGGTGTGTGTTGGTGTGTGTTGGTGTGTGTTGGTGTGTGTTGGTGTGTGTTGGTGTGTGTTGGTGTGTGTTGGTGTGTGTTGGTGTGTGTTGGTGTGTGTTGGTGTGTGTTGGTGTGTGTTGGTGTGTGTTGGTGTGTGTGTGTGTGAGACCCCTCAGTCGGCCCACGCCAGGCCTTGCCGGCCAGGCCTCGGTGAGGCCCGGTCTGCTTAGCTTGCTTCGTGCGTTGCTACAAACGCCGCCACCGCCACCGCCACCACCACCACCACCACCACCCACCACCAATACCTTCTTCACTGTCATTCTCCTTCTCCTCCTCATTATTATCATCATCATCGCCCAGCAAGGTAATCATAATCGTCACCTGGTTGTGAATAGAAGGTGAGCAACCGGCACCGCAACACACACACCAACCTGTTGTGTCTAGCTGTCATGCACAGTGTGCTTTTCTGCAAACCAATGCACGTTTAAGCTATCGGGTTGTAGAAACTATGGCCCAGCACCTCTTTGAGGGTTGCCTCCAAATGGATGGCTTGTGTTTGGGCATGTTTGGAACTCTCTGCCAGGGGCCTCGAACTTCGGCGCTTGCCTGCGGAGGTTCGGCCCTCGGTCGGGCAAGCTGGCAAGGTGGCCCCAAGTGGGCAGTTGAGTCGCTTGGGTACGAACCTGTGTTGGGCAGGATCGTGGCAGGAAATGAGATTGGTTTGCTGTTGCATAATGCTATGCAAAGCTGTGCAATTTGTGCGCAGACTGACATGCGGCGGTGGACACAAGTCACAAGCCAGCCCCACCATAGGGCCTGCGTTTACACACACATACAGTAATATAGATGTGTATATATATATATGCATATCTGTAGGGTACGTAGTCTATTTGTTCTTGGATGGTTCAACTTTATCCAATGCCACAATGCTTTGCGTGCGCTTCTCGCTTTCTCCAGCTAGACTTGCAAGCAATCTCCACGTGAAATGTTCTTAACTTGTTTCCTGAGTCTGCGCCACTTCTTGCCAGGGGCTGCATCGCACCCTGGGCTGAGGCATCCGGTGGCGCGCGGGTGGTATCGGCGCCGGAGGACTGATTTGTTGCGCAGTCCGCGCTGCGAATATCGACCTTGATTTGCAGGTGACTTTCCTTGCGATAGGCAGGGAATGAGGCAAGGCTCCCTATAAACCATCCTTTGCGGTTTCCTTTAAGGGGACCCCTTGGTTCATTCCCTCATTCTCTGTTGATTTTCCACTGTTTGTGGGATGAATAAGCAGCCCCGGTAGTGTAGAAACCCTTTTCAAGGGAGGCTGTGCATTTCAAAAGGCAACCCCTGGGTAAGATGTCTTCACGAATCCTCCCAGGAGCAGAAGCCTTTCCGCGCGGTCTACCTTTTCCTTCACGCCTGTCCCCAAGCATCTAATCCACGTGTGCAAAGGAGATCCGTTTTACGAGGATTTGCCCGATGGCGGCCAGCTACTGTTTCCCAAGCTGGGCCGACAGGCGGCTGACAGCGATGCTTCGGTGCTTCGGTGCGAAGCCCAACGCATTCGCAGGTCACGGCGAGAGAAGGCTTCGCCGCGGTGTGGGACCCTGAAGACCAGGCACCAGCCACTTTCCAGGGGGTAGCTGACTTTTCTTTCGCAACCTGTCCGCTTTGGAGTAGGGTCAAACGGTCAAACCACCTGCCACGCCTCCCAAGACTGCAAGGACCATTTGGGGCTGCCGCCCAAGACCGGCTCAAGGCTCAGGTTTCGGGGTCCATGTGAGGATGGATGTGGCTTCAGACCGGAAGCTAAGGTTCAAGATATGGGATCTCCTGCACATTTCTGCTCTGACGCACATGCAGCTTGCATCCTTGGATCAGGCGGCATGTTGCCACTCCCCAGTCCATTAGGTCGATATACCACAAGCTCTTTGTGCATGCCTTCGGTGGCCGAATCAAAGAATCCTGAGTGCGCTGAGCACATTGACATGGCAGGTTGTCATTCGCTTGTCCACCAGGGCTCTGTGTTCATTTGAAATCAACCTGAGGGATGCTCAAGCAAATCTGCTGCCCATTTGAGCTCCAAAGCATGGGGCTGCAAAAGGGGTCAAGACAAAATGGCCTCGGGCCCGAGCCAGAGACCTAGCGCCCGGCATAGATTGAGTTGATTTCAGATTTTCAGGCTTTCCAGCATGCCAAACACATAGCGGTAGAGCAATATGAGAAAGTGGCATGAATGCTTGCATGTTTCAAAGGAATCTCATTTGGACAACAAGAACCATGTTTTGTTGGGGTTTACCAGGGTTGTTTGACTTGGGAATGTTTGTTTGTATCAGTGTGTTGTTCCTATCTGGTTTGTACTCACGTTTGACTCCGTGGTGATTTTGGCTTTAGCTGAGGCTCGCTGAAAGCCATGATCAGAAATAGAGTCATTGAGGGAACAGATGGAACCAGGCGACGGGCATGGTTGACAGGTCCTTCGACAATTCCAATCCTAGTGCGACGAGTCCCGAGTTCGAGCGTGTGCCTTCAAGCAATCATCCAGTCGTGAAATTCAGCCAACCCCTGCAGAACAAGAAGCCCATTTGGTTGGGTTTGGCCAGGTGTTTTGCATTGGGGGTTTTTCGTGGTTTCCCTTGGGCGCTTCGCGCGGCCGTCGATCGCACTTTGGTCTCAGTGACTCAGGTCCCATGGACTCCCTTTACGGGAACCTTCTGGGCGCCTCGGCCAAGGGCCGTCGGCTCGCGACCTGTGCGCACAGCCGTTTGACCCCGTGGGTGGGGTTTTGGTGACAGACTCTACCGACCATTGCAGCACATCTCGGTGTGTGGGTTCTTCCACATTGTAAGTCGACAAGTCGCGCCGCCTCGGCTGGATAGAATATGGACAAACCCGAGAGTCGTACACAGACTAGTGCAAGCGTAACACGCAAATTTGCTGTCAACATTAGTCAACAGGGTGAACAGGTATAGAATCACACTGCTAGGGCACCTTCTTCGAGACAAGTGCTGACCCCATGAGAGAGGTCCTGTTCCACCTCGACGCTAATATACCCAGACAGAAGCACTTCAGGCGTCAGACATATCGGGGCATATCGAAGCATATTCACAACATAGCTGGACCTGCCCTATCCTCCCCTGTTTCGGTTCCCACAATGCTCCCCTAGTTCCCCTCTCTCTTTGTCTCATTTGTTTCCTTCCCTCCCTCTCTCTCACTCTCTCACTCTCTCGCTCTTTCACTTTCTCTCTCTCTCTCTCTTTCTGTTACATTTCTTCAGTCCTTTCTTCCCTTCCTTCCTTCTTTCCTTCCCTCTTTCCTTCCGTCTTTCTTTTTCTTTCTTTCTTTCTTGCTTGCTTTCTTTCTTTCTGTCTGTCTTTCGTTCTTTCTTTCTTTCTTTCTTTCTTTCTTGCTTGCTTGCTTTCTTTCTTTCTTTCTTTCTTTCTTTCTTTCTTTCTTTCTTTCTTTCTTTCTTTCTTTCTTTCTTTCTTTCTTTCTTTCTTTCTCTCTTTCTTTCTTTCTTTCTTTCTTTCTTTCTTTCTTTCTCTCGCGCGCTCCTTGCATGTTTTTTTCTGATCTATGATATCTACGTAAAGATTCGAGGGGGTGTTGACACCAAGTATGAGTCAAGCTGTTTAAGGTCGGTGTCCCGAGGTTGTGTCAGAAAGGCTCCTTTTGGCCTCCCTTCAAACGTTTAAACCAATCTGCATGAGGTGCCCTCAAAAAGCACACCTTCTTGGTTTGCCATTAAGAGAATCCCAAGCCTCTCGACACGTTTCCGGGGCCTGTGAAGGCTCCGAAGTCCCTGCCAAGAAGGAAGCAGATGACATCTTCGCGGAGCCCAAGGCCTTTGCGGAAAATCGGAGTGAAAGCGAGGTGGGTGTCAAAACCAGGGATCGGATTTGTTTCCGTCCGAGTTTGAATGATTTCGATGGCCAGGTGGGAATGCCATAAAAGATTCGTGTTGCTTATCGCTGCACAGGCAAAAACCGCAATGACTCTCAGTGCCTGTCCAAATTTCAAATCCTGCAGGCTTAGCTCAGCACTTGGCGGCGGTGTGTTGGAAGGGAAGATGCGACTCCATCACTCCCAGCACGAAACAACAGTCTCAGATAGTCAGGTGAAGTATGAATTGTTCATGAAGGCCAAAAGTCTGCTGTCGGATTTGTGGGTCAATTCTCTTAGTGTGTTGCTCATTTGCTGACCATCTGCAAGCCACGGTGGCGAAGCTAGTTGCAAATGCTCGATCTATCGCGGCCATGGGCGCTGCCATAGCTTTCGGCTGCAGCTGTGTTCAGCACAGCCCAGAGCCGCCAGTCGACAGCTTTCCTACTGTGTCGTTAGTTCACGACGCCAAGCCGACGCAGCCAGCGCCGGAAGCTTCACAGGCGCAGGTGCCACAAGCAGCCAGGGCTACGCCGGCCGTGCCCCCTGCGCCCCCGGCGCCGGCGCAAGCACCTGACAAAGTGAGCCCAGCCGCTCCAAGTCCAGCAAAGGTGGCGACCGCCGAGCTCGCGGTGCTGCAACGCCAGTGCCCCAGTGCCTTTGACTTGCGCCTCCAATTTGCAGTGAGTTCGCATATTCGAATGCCAGACTGTCCCACCCTGTTTTTGGGGATTGAGAAAGGAAGCAAGCAGCTGGTGGAGCTTGTAGCTTCGAAACCTGAGGCAAGGTGCCGGACGAGGATCCACCGCTGCCTCCTCCAAAGGAGCCGCCGGGTATCGACGACGCGTCGAACTAGCAGTCCCCGCCGGCAAAGACTTGAGCCGCGGGAGGATGTCTTCAATCTGTACAGCTCGTTTTGACACCATTTCAAGGACATCCTGAAGGGATGAGGCCAATCTTTGCAAGGCATCCTGGATTGAAGGGAGCGGATGGGCTATCGCTGAGCAGTTCTTCCTGCAGGTCGCTCTTTGAGGGTACCATGTTTCTGAGTTGTTTTCAAACGGCGGCGGTTTCTGTCGCAGTACTGATGGTGATCGGCACTGGATGGAACTACGGATTGGCGAGCGCCGACGCGAATCAAGTCCCCGTGTCGGAGCCGACATATTTTGGGACTGGTTTGCTTGTTCTTCGCAACATGAGAGCGGCTTTGCCAACTCTCCGCTTTTGCAAAAAAAACGGGGGCGGATGGTGCGGATGGTGCCTTGCCATTGTCCGAACGAGCAAGTCTGCTTGACACGGGCAACGTGACCCAGTGGACCAGAGTGGCGAACTCTGGCGGGCGGGAGCTGTGAGGAGTGGAGGGTATGGGTGACAAAGGGGGATGTGTAAAAAATGACACCGAAACGGAAGTGTTCCTTACAGTTTCTCTTTGAGCCCAAGTAAAAAGAGCAGCCTCAAAGCTCAAATTTAGCCAGATACTGTAGGGAGCTTGGGTGAGACCACAGTTGTTGCACTAGAATGGAAGCTCAGTTGTCATCTCGGCGCTTTTGCCACCGGACGTCACCGAAACCTTTCAAGTTGAAGCCAAGATGTGGGGCACATTGGCCATTGGCAGCACGGACCATGTCCGAATCAATGACCCCCAGTCACAGGTGGGCACAGCTCGACCTGAGGTGGCCGATGCAAAATTCGCACTCGGCCAGTGAGCAAATGCAAAAGATGTGTGATACTGTGGATGGACAAAATCCTGCACCACTTCGAAAGCATGGGAAACCATTGCTGGTCGGTTACAGGGGAATCAACATTCTGGGGTTTCTTAGGTGGTGCAGGATTTCGTCCATCCACAGTAGCAGTCGCAGGGTGATAGGATTAGCGTATGCTTGGCCGCCCGTCGAGACAATTGCACAGAAGTCAAGCAGCGGGCGTGCCCATGTTGCCCGCTGCTCGTTTGTTGCTCGGACACATCAGGCGCAGGCTGCGCCAGTTGAGAAGAATGAGAAGAAAGAGCCAGAAAAGGCTGGCACCTCCAGCCCTCAACTTGCCTTCTGCTTGGAAGGGAGCACAATCACGACTCTTGGGACTTAAGATTGATACCTGCACTGCCAGGGTGTGAAACATGAAACTTTCAACTCGCATGCACGCAGGAGAAGCCGAGCCCTGCGCTTCCACAGACCTTCTCAGCCGCCAAGCTGATGATGCCGCCAGTGCGGAAGAAGGCCTGCAGATTGGAAGGGGTTCGTTCGCCTTGCCATGGAGCAACCATAAGCCTATGCTGGAACGCGTCCCTTGGTCAGCACTTGGTCACAAGGATCGGTGTCGCAAAGGTGGAGCCAGTGAAGAAGCCCTCCATGCCTGCCTTAGATCTTTCGAAGCTCGCAGCAGTGTGCCCGCCACGTCTTGAGGGAGTTTGGAGAACCTGTCAAGAGGAGGGCCTTTGGGGTAGTAACAAGATCCGAGAAAGCCACTCCGCGGAGGAATTCCTTGGGACGAGTTTTCGGTCCAGGAGAAGGAAGCGCTTATGAAGCAAAGGGCCGCAGCAGAGACCAGCAAGGCCCCGGAGGGGCCGTGGCCCAAATCCCAGGGACGGCAAGCGCTCGCTGGCAGGGGGCATGCGTTCATTTCTCTGGAGGCAAAGCTTGCAGCCTGCGAAGGATTTGTTTGTTTCAGCCATACGCAGGACGAAGTGACATGCGTACACACGCAAACTAATGCTTGCTCACATGGTTTGTTTCCTGCAAGAGACTCTAAACAAGCTCGCCCCATGGGAGTTTGCAACACGTACAAAGAATGGTGTGTCCAGCGTTTGTTTGAATTTGCACTTGTAAGAACATGAACTCGGGAAGCTAGTGCTGAATTCTCGCACGGCCGAGTTTGTTTCGAGCAAGGAATCTATAGGTTTCTACCTGATAGGCCGCGTTTCTGTTGTCAAATTATACGACCTTCTAAGCAGTTGTTTCACGGTTGCAAATCAAACTCCGAAGCAGAAATGTATGCCTAAGCTTTTGGCGGGCATTTGTCGTACCGCGCCTTGATCTAGCCGCGTCTACTCCAAGGGCTTTGGGGCTTTCCCTTTCGTTTTCGCTTGCGAGCCAGGCAGCTCAAGCGCCGGCGAGCTCTGTGGGGAGCTTGGCCATGGCAAGATCGGGTGGGATGGGCGAATGAACGAGGCGCGACCTGAGAGCGATGGGTCGGCGCAGCCCTCAGCTTCAGAGGGACTGAGTTTGTGAATCAGCGAGTGTGAATCATTTCTTGGTGGCTCCCAGCCATCCGGTTCCTCTGCTTTTTTGCCTTTTTGGGGGTTGAGTGTTTGTTTTTTCATAATTTGGCCGACGAAAAGTGACAATTTTAGCAGGGGATTTGACGACAGCACGAATATTATGTGTTGAGCATCTTAGAGTGACTGCTCGATACTCCACGTCTGTGTGGTTTTGAATCTTGTGCGGCAAAACCAGCAAGGCCCAGAATAGCCTTGGCAAGGCGGCGCTCAATGAACCTATTGTTGGGCGCCTAGAAGCTTTGCATTGTCCAACAAGTGAACAGTGCGGCCTGCACAGTAATACCAGAAAGCGCCTAACACCGCTTGGCAATTGTGGTATTTGCGGCAGGTGTAGAGCTGTGACTAAGTTTCGATGCTCAGGCTGCCAATCTGTTTGGCGATCCCAACGAGGCTGGATCTTGTCCAGCTGATTTCCGTGGCGCGAAAGCAACAGGAGTATGACCCCGCCAAGCCAAACGACTACGACGAGTTTTGCCGAAGAAGGCCACCATGTCGCTATGCCGTGGCCGCAGAATTTGCATGGCAGACTCGCCCCTTTCGCATCAGTTGATTCATGGCACCAGTAAACCAGTATGCTTGTGAACTCTTGGAAGGCAGGGGCCAATTGTTTTATACTGACGAAGGGCGCCGCGAGAAACAGGTGATGTTTGTTAACACACTCTCAGATAGAGTCTGTCAGAGGGCACGTCAACGCGCTTACAAGGGCTGCAGGATCGCGCCACTCGCAGTTCTAACCAGTGCAGTTGCAGGATGCGGCAAAAAGCAGAGGAGGAGATGGAGAAGAGACGACAGGACTCGTTTGCCTCCGGAGACAGGTCAAGACTTGCCTTAGCATGAAGGGATGTCACTGGCTCGAGGCCCGTTGATCCGCACGGCAGGAGGCGTTGGCTCGACAGGCGAAGCCGGCAGCTGCTCAGCCGAAGGAGGAGATGTGCTCCGAACTTCGGGGCAGAACGGCTTCAACTGGTCTTCCGGGTACCGTTACAACCCGGCCTCAGTGTGCACTTTCAATAGAGCACTCCGATTGCTGCCCTCTGCAGATGTGTGGGGTTACAGGCATTTTTGCAGAATCCCGTCGAACTGCTCCAAGTTCAGAGTTTGTTTTGGCATGCTGACTCGGGGCTGAAACACGCATTCCGCGGAAACATGCCTCAGGGATGGAAACCAGGAAAGCTTCATGGCCAGTCAAGCCAGTTGGCAGAAGCATTGAGAGCGTGCAAGTTGTCTTGCACGCCTGAGAACATTTACGCAGGAGGATTTCGCCACAAAGATGATGAAGAAAATGGGCAGCGGACTTTCTTTTTCAGCCCGACATATCTCGGTACATGGTTGATTGCTCTCCCAGGTTGGCAAGAAGGAGCGGGTTTGGGCAAGGAAGGGCAAGGCATGGCAAATCCTTTGGCCCGTACCTTAGCATCAGCTCACCTCTCGACCTCACAGCCTCAGGAGACCTAAACGAAAGTTCGATTCCGAGAATCTGAGACCTCAGGTCATGCAGAAAACCGATCAGAAAGCGGGCCGCATCGTAGAGGGCTCCAAGCGCGAGGCCGTAGCCGGCCGAGTGAGCGCCGCGTGAGCGCAAGTCGAGAACAAGAGAGAGACGCGCAGGCACCATCTCCTCCCCAGGGTCAGCCAGAACCAAAGCAGGCCCGGCATCCGGAAGCCAACTTTTGGAGAGCCTGGGTTTGTGCCCAAGTTGCCTGGGCGTAGGGCGATTGTTTATAACGCAAAATACTATATGATATGTGCAGCCATGGGCAAAACTCCCATTCTCTCTTGGGCTTTGTGGGGGCAACCCCGTCTTCCGATTTGCAGAAACCCATGAAGGCCCATACGGAGCTTGAGTTGCCACACCGCAAGGCCAAGGCATCGGCTCCAAAGTTGCGCGGTGCCCAAGCTTGCCTGCCATGGGATCAGTGGGTCCCGATGGCTGACTCAAGTTAGGGCAATGCCAGCGTTGCCCCGGGCCCAACCCGAAATAGTGGGTGCTCATAGATCCGAGAATCGTGGAATCCTTTTGGTTTTGCACTCGTTGCAACCACAAGCAGGCCACCTACTCGGGTGTTGCTGCTGAACAATCTGGTCGGTGCAGGAGACGTTGACGAGGCCTGCAAGAGATGGTGTTGCAAGGCTTTCGGCTGGCTGGCCATCTCTCCCGCATGGACTTGCTACTTAGACAATGTTGCCACATTGCCATGGTTTACTGTCTTTAGCATCGCATTGGTTGCATCAAAGCTTCAAGCTCAGATATAGTTTGAACTTGCCTTTCCAAAGTACGGACATTTCCTGCGCTCAAAAGCTTAGATCCTTAGTTGAGCTTTTAACCTAGCATGTTTCTCGCAATGCCAGGACTTGGAGGAGGAAACTGCGGAGGAAGCGGGCAAGTATGGGAAGCTCAAGAGGCATCTCGTCAGTCGCCCTTGGGGCAAGCACAGAGCCTTGCCGATGGCTTTTTACCAGGTGTGTCATCAAAGAGCTCGCTGGCAAACCGGATGATGAGGTGAGCGCTGTCATCATTTGTCCCAATTGCACCAGATTGCCACGTCTTGAAAGTTGGCTTGTCGCGACCAACTGCCCCCAGGCAGTGCGTATTTTCCTAGAGTACGAGGACGTGTCAGCTGCGACAAAGGCCGTAGACGAGGCACGTCTCGCTTGCATCGTGCTTGGTGCAGGCGTTCGCGGACATGAACGGTCGCTACTTTGGAGGGCGGGTGGTGAGAGCTCGATTCTACGAAGAGGGGCTCTTCGCACAGGCCGGGCAACCCCCCCTGAAGGCAATGACGCATGTAAGGGACTTGACCATGAGACGTGAGTGTGTGTTCAACAGTGCGTGCGTTGGCGGGCTGGGAACGTGAGTGCGTGGTGTAAAGTGATTGCTTGGCGTTGAAAGTTGCTACATGTCATTGCAAGTAGTAGGCTAGCAGGCGTGTTTCCGCGGCAAGTTGGTGATACCTTGAAGGATGCCCAAATCTACCCCGCAGCTTCCATTGTTTCAGACGTTACTTATCCGCACAAGCAATCGGCAGCACTTCGAGTTGTGTTGTGTGAAGGCCCAACCAGCAGCCGTTGCGACTCCTGGGCATTTGCGACGTTCAATTGCGTTTGACGTTGCATGTTCCTTGTGGATGCATATCCTGGAGGCGGCGAGATGGAGACTCATTGACGGTTGCCGTTGCCGCTAGCGGCTCTGCGTAGAGAAGAGTCGGATGATTTGAGACGTGCAACACGCAAACAGACTTCAATGTTGCAGTTTAACATGGCACCTTGAACACAGCACAGCCAAGTTTGCTTGAGAAATTCAGAAATTGCCGCGCCGAAAGGGATGAATAAACAGGCCCTTGATGAGCACACGCCAAGCATTGATATCGAGGACTTCTTTGTGCACATCTCAGAGGCGACGTCTGACGATGGCTGGATCAGGGTGCGGGACCGGTTTAGCAACAGCTCCTTGCAGCACGACGGCCAAATCTGCTACCGCTTTTCCGGCTGTGGCTCCTGTATGACACGCTTGCAGTTTGTGGTTTCCAGTGAATTACCCCCGGAGCTGCTGCTGTTGCGTCCAGAGATCGCCAGCCGCACGACGTCTGGGGTGTCTGGGCTGCTGCATGCGCGATACGTGCAACAGCTCAACCCCGGGGATGCGGTGGTGCAGCTGGGCCTAGGATCCGCAGATCTGCGCCACAACTTGCGCAAGATCCTGGAGAGCCCCTCTGTGGAGGAGGAGAAGTCTCAGCAGGACGACTGGGACACCTACTATGCGCGGATGATTGTGAAGAGGAATGTCCCAGAGCCGGGTATGTCCGCCATGCTGGTTCTGCCAATCGGCCGAAGGCATACGGTGGTGTTTCAGGTTGGGGCGGTAAAAGCATATACCCTGACGGTGCACCCACATCCGTCTCCTGGGAAAGTGGTGGTTTCCCACGTGCTATTTCTTCCCTTCTCCGCGTACCCGACCTGGGCCACAAGCTACTTCTCGGAGCTGACGACCCTGGAGAAGGAGAATTTCATTCGATACCTGCAGGCGGAGGATCTGAAGTCGCTGTGCGAGATGGACCAACAGTATTATACCATTTTGAATTTGAGAGGCTGCAACAGAGGAGTGCCACTCTTGCCGCTGAATGATGAGGAGGTGTCGCACTTGACGGAGGACTCATCCTATGTTGTTATCAAGGGTGAAGACGGTGTGGAGTCGTATTGGGCGAGGTGGAACGACAATGAGTTCACATTCCATGCCTATCTCAAGGACTTTCTGCAGCGCGTGGGCATCGAGATGACGGTGTTCACGGAGCTCAGCGGCCGGAAGCTGGTGCCCTACCAGGTGGCGGTTTTATCCCACCAGTGGACCCAGTGCCGGGAGGAGGTGATTGCTGAGTTCCACCGGCAGCAGCGAGCGTACCGACGCATGAACGGAGGTGTCAGTGCCCCAAGGGTCGGAGAAGGCCCCGACGCCCGGTTTTTGCACTTGCCTCCCAGGCCCAAAAGCGCGTGCTTCGCTTCGCACTCTGAGGATGTCGTGGTGCGGCGCACCTTCATCGACATGGATGACTCGGTGGTAGACTTAGGCAGCGCCTGGGTTGGCGCGCGCAACCAGGTGGGCGGTGTCTTGGTGCGCGCCGCGAGCACGCACTTCTGACGCGGTTTTTGCTTAGGGAGCCGTCGCCTCGAAGGCAGACATGCGAGGCTTTCACAGTCTGGCCAGGGGCTCGTAGGTCTCCGTCCACATTTTGCTCCAAGGGTCCTTTGAAGACCTGGGCGGATAATTGGCTCACTGTGCGAAGGTTCTGGGAGAATTACCCGCAAACCCATGAAGGGTTGCTTTATGGTGCTTTCTTGTTTTTCTCTTCTTTTCATCGGGCATGGTGATTTGTATTGGGTTTACAAGTTGACCATTGAATTGCAAGAACATATTTGCCCGTGTCAATGTAATCATTGCAAGTTGTCCAAATTGCTTGACCCTTCACGCGAGCCGGCACAAACGCCAAACAGCTTGGCGAATGCAGTTGTTTCTGCCGAAGGCGCCTAAGGATCTGCGCTTCAGGCTACTAGTTGTGTCAAGGACACTGTATGCTACGAGACTTCAAACACGCACCGCAAATCGGTGGTTTCTCTTTGCTAGCTCAAAAATGAGGAAATCAGGCCTTGGCCCGAAGTTGCCGTGCCAGCCATGATGTCGGAATGGGATACTAGATCCCCTTGTGCAGTTTGGAATGAGACCACTCATGTTGGCACCTGACCCAGGGGCAGCTCGAGGTAGGTTGACTCCGAGACGGTAGCTCAGCTTTGCAGCGTGGAGATCTTCCTGAAAGCCAGCCTAGTGTGTGAAAGCCTGCGTCCCCTCCGAGGTTTGAGTGCCCTTGTGCTTTGCCTCCAGAACCATCCAAAATCATGTCCAACCAGAGTTTGCACCTTCCCTGTCACTTGGAACCGAGTCACCTAGGTTCGATCCGGAACTTTCAGGCAAGCGCAAGGAAAGGCCTTCCGGTTTCGCAGGCCAGAAAAAGAGAAGAGCTGTTGCGCAAAGGCGTTTTGTTATGTTTTGTTTGTGTGGCTTAGAACAGTTGTGACCGTAACTGACCAATGCTTCTGCTTGATGTTTCGTCCATGGTCAAACCAAGCACGGCAGTCTCATACTCTGTCTATCCTCGTTGCCGGTGCCGCCGCAAGTGGCGAGAACCCTTTGGCAAAGCGTGACTTGAAATGACGCAGCATTTGGCACTCAGAGGAGTATCAAGCTTTTGCAGCCTGTCATTCTTGCCTTGCTCAAGCTTTAAGGGCACAATCAATCGCAAGATCAACTGCAATGCAGTGGATGTCCAACGAGTGGTTGCATGTTAGGGTGTCAGATTTGCGTTGCCTGACCTGCCGGTCCTGCGGCTCTCGAAGTGGCGGGCGACTTAGCGTGCGATGCGAAGGCTGTAAGCTCCGCTTCGAAGGGTCCAAGAGTCGAGCTGAGGCGCAATGGGAGGCGGCAAGTCAAAGGAAGAGACCGTGAAGGAGAAGGTGGGGCATGGTGGGGCGATCTTCGTGCCACTCAGTTGGGAGCATAAATCATGTTCCCCTCGTTCATGCACAAAGTTAAGGACAGATCAGCGACTTCAGCAAAGAATGGATCTCTGCGCCAGCAGATTTCCATCTTTCTGCAGTCCTCCGGATCCAAAGGTCTGTGTCCTCAGTTCTGAAACAGAATGAGCTCCTTTGATCGTGGTTCATGGGGCAAGTAGACGCTAATTTCCAATGCAAGACTTGCTTTACTTGGTGGCTCCCAGCCATTGGGTTCCCCAGTTTTTTTTTGTTTTTAATGCTTTTTAGCTTTTTAGTTGGTTTAGCAGGGGGTTCCATTTAGCCCGCAAGTTCGGCCTTTGAGCAGGGGATCTGAGGACAGCCCAGTGTTGGTTCGGTGGCGATGTTCCGGCAGGCTAGAGAGTGGCAGAGGCAGATCCGCGGTGAGAGTCGGCGGATCGAGCGTGACGTGGCCCGAATGCGCCGGAAAGCCTAGCTGAGTGGATGGATGCTCACCAGGTTTGTGGAGGAGAACGCACCACCACCGCCGCGAACAAGAAGAGCAGCAGCAGCAGCAGCAGCAGCAGCAGCAGCAGCAGCAGCAGCAGCAGCAGCAGCAGCAGCCACCACCACCACCACAACAACAACAACAACAACAACAACAACAACAACAACAACAGCCACAACAGCAACATCGACAGCCACAGTAACAAGCAAGCAAACAAACAATCAAACAAACAAACAAGCAAACAAACAAACAAACAAACACACACAAACAAACAAACAAACAAACAAACAAACAAGCAAGCAAGCAAGCAAGCAAGCAAGCAAGCAAGCAAGCAAGCAAGCAAGCAAGCAAGCAAGCAAGCAAACAAACAACATCAACAGTAACAGTCATCAACAATCAAACAACAATACATAGAGCAGAGAGAAAAAGGCAAGCTGCAAGCAACAATCAAATAATCACAGACAATCCAACCAGCCAGCCAACCAACTAACCAAGCAAAAAACCAACCAACCAAACAACCAACCAACCAACCAAGCAAGCAAGCAAGCAAGCAACCAACCAACCACCCACCAACCCACCAACCCACCAACCCACCAACCCACCAACCCACCAACCCACCCACCAACCACCAACCAACCAACCAACCCCAACCAACCAACCAACCGACCAACCAAGCCAGCCAGCCCAGCCAACCAACCAACGACAAGACAAACAAGCAAACACACCAGCAAGCAGACAACAGACGACAAACGACAATCAACGATCAGTACACAACACAACACACAACGAACAACACAGAGCAAAGAACAAATAACACACTGCATGTTGCGAACAACAAACACAACACAACACAACAAACAGCTAACAACAAACAATCGCAATAACAGCAACAGCAACAGCAACAGCAACAGCAACAGCAACAGCAACAGCAACAGCAACAGCAACAGCAACAGCAACAGCAACAGCAACAACGCGCCGTCGTCGCCCAAGCGCGCGCACACGTATAGCGGGATGTCCGGTTTTGCACGGCGCACAGTTTGTTACAGGTCGTTTGTGCGTTTTCAATCTTGAGGGCTGCTTGAAACCAGCGAGTGTTTGACGCAATTCGCTTGAAAATATGCAAATACACATGTTTTTTGTAAGTCATGTACTTCTTGACACCTCTACTCACTTGCAAGCCTGAGCCAAAGAAATGCTCGCGCAACTCAGGCGCCATGGGCAAGCAAACCAGCTTGCGTTGACAGAGGATGCCATGAGCGAGCACACCACCAATGCGGCCAATGCGTGCGCAATTTACAGACCATGGGCTGGCACACTGCCTTTGAGTTGACAAAGAGGGTGCCATGGGGAAGGCACGCTGCCAATGATGCTACTGGTGGGCATACCACCAACATATCATTTGGCAGGCAGGCTTTGCTGCTGCGGTTTTGCTGTCGCGCGCACCTGTGCAGTCAGAATGACGTTTTTTGCTCTCCAACATACACGAAAACATGCGCAAACGAAAACTCACACGCGGCGTGTGCGCGTATGCGCGCTGTCGGAGCCAAGTACAAAAACGACGGCAACCACGACGACCGGCGGCGGCACCAGCAACAACCACCACTACAACCACCACCACCACAACAACAACATAAAGAAGAACAAGAAGAAGACCGAGAAAAAGAGCAAGAACAACAGCACGGTAAGAGCAGTAATAACAGAAAGAAGAAGAAGAAAAAGAAGAAGAAGAAGACCGATTGGCAGCTGTAGTTATTTTCGCCCATTGTTGCAAAATTGGACCCACAGTTGGACAATGCAGTCGGAGGGACCGGGTTGGGCCCTTGAATGTTTGGCCCAGAGGTCAAGAGGAGGAGAAATTGAAGAAGGAGATTAAGGTCATGGCTGAGAAGGGACAGGCGGCCAGTGCCGGCATCCCAGGCTGCCCCTGCAAAAAGGTGGTGAGAGTTCGTTTTTTGTGGGGTAAATCATTTTCCATTTGCTGTCCCCAAAGAGCCGCACGCCAACGCCATAAGAGCAGCGCTTTTTCTCAGATGATGCATCTTAGCTTCGTGGGGAACTCCCAAAAAGTCCGCAAAGGCACTTGTGTGATACATTGCGTGCCGCGAAACCACTTTGCGAAGCCACTTCGTGGTTGGAGTGTGTTATGTGCTTTCATGGCAAGTGTGTTGTGTGCTTTCATGGCAGTAGCATGCCAAAGGTTGATGTTTAGTGTGAGAAGGCTCTGACAAGTCTACAGGAAGATTACAGTCAGACTGACGGAAGATTATGGGGAGACGACAGGAAGACGACCGGAAGGGCCTCCGTTTTTGCTAGAAACGATGGAACGTTTTCGCGAAGCCTCTGCGAAGCTCCGAAGCCTCCGCGAAGCCACCGCGGTCCAACTTCCATGCCCCGCCCCTTTGAGGCCCAGCAATGTCCCCTAGTCCTGAAGCTCAATGTCACCCTTTCATCGCCCCCTTTCGCATGGAATCAAGTTCGAAACCGTCAGATATGTTTGTGGAACAAGCATTTGCCGCAAAGCCTCGCGAAGCCAACCCTTGAACGAATTCCAGCCCCGCGAAGCCCCCGCCTCCCCAGCAGCGCATAAGCCCTGAACCCCTAAGGTGAAGACCTTGGCTCGACAAGTTGTCCGCTCAAGGAAGGCCGTGGCCAGACTGGAGAGGAGGGGATTTGGCGTGCGGTCTCGCGTTCGTGTTTTCGCTGGGCATCGTCCCCCCCCGAACGATGGGGCCGAAGTACAAGGGCCAAAGCATAGACATCGTTCAAACACATCAAGAAAGAAGTTGGTAACGGTGTTTTGTCCTGCGGAAGCTTTGAGAACGCTGTGCAAAAGGATGCGAGCAAACATGCGCACGCAAGGGGCTGCTCTTTTTTCGGTACATGTTTCTTTCGATGGTGATGCCTTCAGAGCGCAATGATTGGATTTCTTTCAAAGGTCTATAGGATTGCAACCTGGGTTGAAGTGGATGGCGCAGCTATACCTTATCCACCTGGATGGAACTGCGCCAGTGTGCTGCAGCGCACAGTGCAGTAGTGCAAGAAAAAACAAATGGTCCGGAGAAAGGCCCGCGAAAGGCATCGGTCCTATCTTCAGACCCTAGCCCACAGGGTTAGCTTTCGAGTTTTGTTTAGGTGGCTGTTTGGAAACGTTAAGCCATGGTCAGAGCTCTCTCGTGCATGACGCCTGCTATTTGGCTTCAGACTGTTGTCGATGCTTGACCTCTTTTCAGACCACATGGCTCACGAAGCTCTTGCACTCCATGTTCTGTCTAGGTTTACGGGACGCATCCCTGAAAGCTCTGCGAAAGGGCTACTTGGTCCAATGTGCTCCGCGAAAGGAATGTTGAGGTGCGAAAGGAACACGAAAGGGTTCGGGAAGGCAGACAGGGAATACAACACCGTGGCACTTAGTTTTCGAACACCGCTCTACCTAAGCGGCACGAGGCTAAGAAGCAAGCAATCCTTTGGGGTGTTTCCGCTTGTGCTTTGTTCGGGTTATCTTGCGGCTCCTGCGGCCGGCTGGAGTGTTACGCGATCTCTCCCCCTTCAGGCTGACGCTGGGCAGTATCCAAGCAGTACAGATCAAGGCAAAAACACAGGTGAACAGTTACAGCGCATGCACGGCGTTGATAGTTGTCTTGACAGTTCACACGCTTTGAATCAAGCAACTGGAAGCGAGGACGAAATGCTCCATGTCAGCCGTCAGCCTGCATCTCACCACCGTTGCTGCCTGAGTAGTTTGATATGTTTGGCTTATCCGAGGCATGACTCTTGCGCGCGGTGTGTTTCCAAGCATGATTGTCCCGATCGTTGTTGATTGTCCCGATCAATACTCAAAGCAGGATCCACAAATGCAGGTCTCCATCGATTGAGAGACGAAGCACCGAGGCAGTTGCGTCCATGTCTACCGCCAGTGCGCTCAAGATGTCCTCCGGAGTCATGAAGGAGATGAATAGGTCCGGCTCCGGGGGGTGACACACACTGGGAATCCGATGTGTCAAAGTCAAGGACCCCCGGTTGGTTGGCGTTGCATGGGCCAGATGCTCTCCGTAAGCTGCAACAGATGGAGAGCCAGAGAGAGACGGGCAGGTTGATGAATGTTCCTGAGCTACAAAGAACTATGGAGGACCCGGCTCACCGGACTGCACCTGACAGTTCCACTTTATGCAGGACATGCGACAAGAGATGATGCGCGCAGAGATAGCCGATGAGATGATGGAAGAAGGCGCGTTGCGGCAAAGCCAAGCTTATATTTGTGCGACAAGTAGATGTCCAAAGCCCAGAAGCAATGGGGCGGCATCGTTGTTTCATGGCATGGCAGGTTTCCAAGAATCCGATGACGAGACCGAGATTGATTCCGCTGTTGCTCGAGTCTACGAGGACATTGCAAACAGTTGTGTTGATGCAAGAAGGCGCCTTACGATAGAAGGCTGTCATGCGGGCGCAGGTAGGTGTATGATGAGCCTGACAATCTTAAATGAATATCCATGTCGCTTGGTTGACTCCGCGATCCTGCTATAGGAGCTGGCGCTGGACAAATCGCAGCTTCTAGACACAGGACCCAAGCCTTGAAGTGCAAAGTGAAAGGTGAAGCATGATGAAGCCGTGGAGTGCGAGCGATGCGAATATTTTGGAGTGATCCATGTCAAATTGCAAAAATATGATCAAAGAGTTTTGACATGTGTCAAACAACATGCTCAAAACTTGTTGTTGCCCGAATGTCTAGGAGCGTCAGCAACACCAGCGCCAGTGGCTGCACCGGTGCCCGAAACCACGGAGGCGCGGACGAGTCACTCCCCTGGCAGGTGTTGCACTGGGCCGTGATTCCACAGACGTGTCTCAAGAGTTGTTCTATGCCGCGCAAAGTACGAGGGCGGCCAAAACAGTAGAGAGCTGCCAGGAGTTTTTGTGCCGCAATTCTTGCGCACGCTAGGCACTCGTTTGCTTGGTGCCACTCTAGAATGCTTCACGAGGCTGAAGCAAGACCCTGCAGCTTGCCAGCCCAAATAGGGCTTGGTAGCGTCATTTAGAGGTCCAGCGATAGCTCGTCCAGCCTTGCGCAGAATAGGAGCTGACTTGCCTGGGGAATTGCCGAATGTTTTAAGATTGCATCGTTCCTTGACACAGCGCTTCAGGCCCCCAAAACGCGCTTTCAGGCACTTCCATTTGACAGCAAATGACAGCCGTTGCTTACACACTCCCTCAAGAACGGCTTTATTTGTCAGATCGCAAGAAGCATGGATCCAGGTCTACTTCAACTGTTCGGTTCCGCGAGTCTCAAGGCATCAATGAAGATCCTCAACATTGCATGTCAGCGAGAAAGCAAGTGAAATTGACAGTCTCTCACATGCATGATGACTCACATGGCACATGTATACAATGTACCATGCGAATTGCCGCTCCCTATCCCGACAATCCAAGAGCACTTAACACTGGCCTAGCGTTTCGGGCACGTGTGCCAGGATCCTCTAATGAAGCGCCTACAAGAGCTTCAAAGGCAGGGAGATTCTTCGCATTTGACAATTGGCAAGACATGGCTAGGTGAAGCTTCTCGCTCAACTGGCTGTTTGTTTGGACGGCTCGGGTGCGATCGAAGCTCTGCACTTTCATCTGAACAGAGTGAGAGCATCAATACATGTTAGGTAGATCTGGCTGAAAGCCAGCGCCACCTCTCGCCAGCGCACTGCACACGCAGTCGCTCGTGGAAAAATGTGAAGTACTGTCAAAGTTACTTCTGTTGAGTTTAGTATTCGGCGTTTCATTGGGATTGTGAAAATGCACAAACATTGGCAAACGACAGGGGTCTCTCAAAATTCCGATATCCTTATCAGTTATGTTTTACTCACCTGCTTTCTGTTTATGTGGGATGCTTGTGCCCGTTGGAATCGGATAGGCTCTTCGCTTCATTCGAGAAAAGGCACTTGCTTTACGCCGTGTGACTCGCGCCTTTCTGTGGACCTTGGCCCTTGGCCCAACATAGCCTTCCCCGATGGCAGTGGTTACCGTTCTTGCTAGTTTCCTGACCAATTGCACGACCACTTGAGCGGCACACAAATTGCGTCCAGTGCATTTTGTCTGAGCAGGGTGCTCCGAGATTGGAGGGGTTGTGAACGCTCTTTGTTAACGCTGTTTGGGATGCATGCTCTCCTTGTGGCTCCGTGCAAACGTGGCAAATGGACTACGCATGCTGCGTCGGGTGGGTGCGAGTGTTAGAGCAGCAAAGCCAACTTCCAAGCGAGGCGCGCGCGCGCGCGGCAGTGCGTATGTAGTTGCTCCTTGCACATCGCTTGGGCTAAGGGAAGCTCGGCAGAATTTTCTAGTCCTGGCAAGCGGTCTGAACGATACCTCGAACGATACCTGAACGATACCCGAAAAATACAAAAATACAACCAGACCACCGGTCACTCACGCTACCACACTACAATACGGCCACACTACCGCACGCTCATGCCTCCTTCCTTCCTTCCTTCCTTCCTTCCTTCCTTCCTTCCTTCCTTCCTTCCTTCCTTCCTTCCTTCCTTCCTTCCTTCCTTCCTTCCCTCCTTCCCTCCTTGCTTTCTTCCTCCTTTTGCTTGTGCTTGCTTGCTTGCTTGCTTGCTTGCTTGCTTGCTTGCTTGCTTGCTTGCTTGCTTGCTTGCTTGCTTGCTTGCTTGCTTGCTTGCTTGCTTGCTTGCTTGCTTGCTTGCTTGCTTGCTTGCTTGCTTGCTTGCTTGCTTGCTTGCTTGCTTGCTTGCTTGCTTGCTTGCTTGCTTGCTTGCTTGCTTGCTTGCTTGCTTGCTTGCTTGCTTGCTTGCTTGCTTGCTTGCTTGCTTGCTTGCTTGCTTGCTTGCTTGCTTGCTTGCTTGCTTTGCTTGCTTGCTTGCTTGCTTGCTTGCTTGCTTGCTTGCTTGCTTGCTTGCTTGCTTGCTTGCTTGCTTGCTTGCTTGCTTGCTTGCTTGCTTGCTTGCTTGCTTGCTTGCTTGCTGCCTTCCTCTTCCGCTTTTCTGCCCCCCTCTTCCGCCTTCCTTTTCTGCCTTCTTCTTCCGCCTTCCTGCCTTCCTGCCTTTCTGCTGGAGGAAGCAGTAAAGAACGAGCGGAGCAATCAAAAAAGGGAGGAAGGAAGGCAGGAAGCAAGGGAGGGAGGAAGGAAGCAAGGAAGCAAGGAAGCAAGGAAGCAAGGAGGCAAGGGAGCAAGGGAGCAAGGGAGCAAGGGAGCAAGGAGCAAGGAAGCAAGGAAGCAAGCCAGCCAGCAGGCAAGCAAGCAAGGCAAGCAAGCAAGGCAAGCAAGCAAGGCAAGCAAGCAAGGCAAGCAAGCAAGGCAAGCAAGCAAGGCAAGCAGCAAAACAGGGAAGGAAGCCAGGCAGGCAGGCAGCTTCTCCCTTCCTCCCTCCCTCCTTGCCTGCTTCCTCCCTGCCTTCTCCCTTTTCCTGCTCGCCGTTTTGCTGCCACGCGGCCTTGCGTAGCTTGATAGAAGCTGGGCTGGACCCATCCCACACTGCTGACTGCATCAGCGACGCTGCAGTCCAGTGTGCGCTGCGCTTTCTGGACCAACGCCTATAGAGTGTGGGTTAATAGCCCGGAGAGATGAGTGAATGGATGGTGTTTGAGTGCTTGAGTGACTGATGAAGACACGTCTCTCTCCCAGACACAGGATGTGGATGAAAAAGACAAGGTTATTACAGCTACTAAAAAGAGAGTTAATTGGTAAGAAGAGAATAATTGGCTCTGAGAGCGACCTGAGGAGCGAGGGTGAGTGCTCTTCTTCTTGGGAATCGAGTGAATAGGAGATGACCTACAGCCTCTCACTTCGCTCTCTATCTCTTCACCAATGTAATGCTTGGCTATAACCCAGTTCCTGGAGGTATGAATGAGAGCGTCTACTTCCGAGCGAAGAGAGGGACAGGAATGAATGGCTGTGGGTTAATCCTTTCCATTCCCTACATCAGTCTCTCGGTCCTTGACCTCTTATTCACTCGTTGCCTCCCTTCTCGTTCCTCGCGACACCTACTCTTTGGAGGCGAGAACCAGCAAAGTGACATGCAACTTGATGAAGCAGACTCTGCTGTCGCAGAAGTGATGCGAGCAATGCCTGCCGACGATGCTGATGATAAAATGGAGCTGAAAGAGCTTGAGGCTCGCGGCCTGCAAGCAACTCCTCTGGGGCAGCGCATTTCGCTGCAGCTCCAGCCGCGCCAGAGAAAAGCAAACAGTAATTGCAGAATGAGAAGTGTCAGAAACACGACACGCTGGAAAACGATAGGAGGTTTTTAAACAAAGTAGCGAAACGGCAAGCAAATAATTTCGACCGGGTATTTAGAATGACTGAGCCCCTGATGCAATTTAACAACGACAATCTTTTCTTTTATGTTTCTTGATTATAATTGAATTGAATAATATTGACTAATTTTAATATTATAATATATATATATTAATATAATTATATATTTTATATATTGAATATTATATTAAATGTGAAATTATATATGTTTATATATATATTTATTTATTAAACTAATATATATATATATATATATTTGGCAACTAATGAATAGCTATTTTTTGAAACAAATGATAAGAGAAGGAATAAGCCCGCGAGAAAAAATACATGTTTGTGTAGTAGGAGAAAGTTGTAAAAAACGTAGCCTTGTGCGTGAATTGGTATTTTTGAAGATGAGAACGTGATATTAGAGCCGTTTCGGAATATATTTGGATTATATTTGGCGTTAGGCTTATTAGCACGATATTATAATGTGGTAGGTATAGTATTTTGGCAAAGCCGGATATTGCATATATATATAATAAATTTAATTATAATAATATAATTATTTAAAATATGAATTTATTTTTATATTAAAAATGTATATATTATTTTCGTATTTAAAAGTTACTATTTTTAAGCTTAGTTATAATTAGGTACGAAATTGGATTTTATCTATTATTTTCGTGCTTAAAAATTATCTTCGTGTCGATATTTAAACCTCGATTACGAAAATGAACTTAATGCATTGTGATCGTATTTAAAAATTATTCCTAATTATAAAAATGAATTGTATATATTACTTTCGTATTTAAAAATTGCGATTTTGGAATCCAAATAATATCAAATATATAAATATATAAAATATAAACATATAACAAATAAATATAAAACTATAAAAATATAATTTTTTCAACAACATAACAAAATATTTAAAAATCAAAAACATATCAATATATAAAATATCAATATATAAAAATAAATAACTATAAGTGCACGAAAATAAAAAAATGCTCAAATCAACGAAAGCTTAAACAATAACGGGATCTCTTGCCCCCACCAAGTCCTACAGACGCACGCGGGGGATAGCAGGACCCTAGAAAACCCCCAGAACCCCAGCGACCCTGGACTCGGCCTCGCTAGGTGAAAGATCAAGGCTCTCTTCATGGGGTTGTGCGGGTACTAGAGGCTGCCCAGCTGCATCTGCGACTCCAGCAGCTGAGCCGATCGGGGCCACATCCCCCCAGATTCGCCAGGAGGTGGATCTTCGAGCCGAGCTTCGTGAAGGCGTGCGCGACGGCGGGCACGCGCCCTGGCGTTCTCGGACCCGCAAACTCTATCTCCAGCACGACTTGGCTTCAGCAGGATGCGCCAAAGGACCGCCACAGGCATCAAGCTGTTTTCACGGCGCTGGGCTCACTTGATCCAGCGTCTCAGCTGAGCAGTAAGCTTCTTGTTTCGCGGCAGATGTGTACCATGTTGCCTTTGGCTGTGTTTTCGGGCTAATAGGTGTTGAGGTGTTATGTTGCGCAGACGCGCACACAGAGAGTCAGCGCTTGAGCGATGACTGCGCCAAGGATCGTCGGTCCTCACTACTGCAGTCACTGCGGAACACTGCCATCGACCCAAAGCCTGAAGGAGAACAGGCGCAGGACTCAGAGGAGCACTTGCGACACATGGCTGTCACGTCTGCCTGAGCACTGCGCGCGGTTTGCTAAGCACAGTGTGTACCGAGCTCTTGCTGGACATGATGCATGCGAAGATCAAGAGCTTTTCCTGATTCGGTTTGGCGACGTCTTGGACAAGGTGGACTTTCGCGCTGTACAACATGGTGGACTTTCGCGCCATGCTTGAGCCACGGGTAAGGAAAAAACGATTACAAACAGCGCCCTCTGACTGCCGCGCCGGGACGTTATGGTCCAGCGCGGTCAGCCCGCAATTTGCCCGGCCAGGGTCTTTTGCCTCTCCGCCTTTGGGACAGGAAAAAAGACGCTATATAAGCCTCTTAACAAGTGAAAGGAGACCAAATAGGGTCAAGAAAAAGACATATAGGTCTCTTAATGCCTGGAAGAAGAACAAGCAACGCCTGTGGAAGGAGAACAAACAGCGCCCCTCTGAGATACCTTGCATTTATTGGGGTAACGAAAAAAACGTTGTTTTGCTTAGGTTATATGGAACTCTTAACAAACGAAAAGAGATTAAATTACGCTTCTCTGAAGACTTTAAGTTTGGGGTTAGGAAAAAGATTTGTTTTTGCCTAAGATATATGGGTCTTTTAACACTTGGAAGGATAATAAATAACGCTTTTCTGAGGTGCCTTGAATTTGGCTTCGAATTTGGGGTAAAGATAAAAACACGTTTTTTTTCCTGGTCATTACCGAGGGTGCCTGATAGAGGATACCCATTCTCCCACACGAATGACGCAGAGAGCGAAGCACACAGGCTTAAGAGCTGGGTCAAAGGAAAGTGGACTGCCATGCGAACCATCAACAAAGCAGATTCTTCCTCTAAGCAGAAAAATCTCAATGACAAGATGAACGAGTATGTTGCCCAAACCAATTTGGGCGAGCACATGAAGCTATCCATGTCCACCGTGTTGGAAGCATTTCGGACCCAAAGTGGTTGCCCGAAATTCCCAGTGCGTTTGTGAAGGCTCCAAAAGCAGCCGCGGCCGAGGCGCGTGGTGCTTTTTGATCCACGTTCAACTCTTAACCATACTATACCGATATATATATATATATATATATCTATTCATTTCGATAGATAATTGATTGCGTAGCACATATTGATTATTCATAGTTAGGTTGTCTTTTTAGACACTTAAGCAAGTCAAGTAAACAAACCAGCATGTTCGACGTTCAGCGAGCTGCTTTGCAGGACGCTGCTATGAAGCCCTGGAACCGGGACGTTGCGAAAAAGATTCTGGCACGGGGCCAACCAGCGAACTCCGCTGTGGGTGTAAAACGGGCGCTTCATCCGTGTCGTAGCTGTTCAGCTCGCTGCAAGCACCAAATGTCTTGCTGCATGCTCTTGGCCTTGGTTGCCATATGGCACCGCCTCACAAGTCCACAGAGTCCCCCATTAAAACTCATATCCATATGCCACCCTGCCCAATCGACACGCGCCGACATGTTTAATCGCCACCGCGCGACTCAGGCCCCGAGAATACACATGCCCTCAGAACCAAAGATTGTGTTCCAAAACCAAAAGCAGGAGACTAAGCATTGATTCTTCGGCAAGGACAATTCTGACCAGGACTGTCCGGAAACAAGGTGATACGGCGCTTGCCGCGCCGTCCGCAAACATTTGCCACCGCGACACGCTGGCCCCGAAGCACACCTTGCACTGGTAGGCGGCAGCTGACGCTCCTGCACGCGCGACTGACAAGCGTTGCCATTTGAGTGTGTCCCCGCCAATAGCGATTGGTGACTTACTTAGCTTGCTCATGCCTTCCACTCATTCTTAAGTCTCTTCTCCAAAGAGAATCTTCGCTTCTCCCCTCCTCCCAGCCAAAATTTTGCCGGGCCGCCCCCCCCCCACACCCATGTCGGCTGGACCCAAAATCCTGTCCGGCGGGCCTTGAAATTTTCGGGGTTCGTCGGCGTCCAGCTCCATGGGTCCATTTTTGTCGAAAATGTGCTGACAATTGCGAAAATCACTAAAAAATTGCTTTTTTGTCCTGAAAAGCATGACCTCCTGGTGGCCAGGCCTGCCTGACGTGTCTGAGACTAGGCTCAGGCCCAGCCCAACCAGCAACCCGCCTGCTGGCCAGGCCTGTCAGCCCCACCCAGCCTCAGGCCCAAGCTTGTCTGAAACAGGCCTACCCCAAGTCATCCAGCAAGCCCAGCCCAGCGCCCAGCACCCAGCCTCAGGCCCAAGTGTGTATGAAACAGGCCTTGCCCATCCAGCAACCCGCCCAAGCACAGCTCAGCCCAGCCCGCCCAGCCCAAGTTCCAGGCACAACCAGCAGCCTGGTCCGGCTGCCCGGCAGCCAGCAACCCACCCATGGCTTCGCAGCCTTGTGGCTGAGACTAGCTTCAGGCCCAGCCCAAAGCCTGCCCAGCCCAGGCCCCAGCACATCTCAGGGCATGCCAGCCACTACCGGCCCCCAGCTCCCAGCCCACCAGCAGGTGTGCCAAGGTCAGGTTTGTCTAACGTGTCTGAGACTGGCCTCAGGCCAACGACCGGTCTCACGTGTCCAGCTACTCAGCAGCCCAGGCTGACCAGGCCCCTTCGGCGCAGTCTGAGACTGGTCTCAAGGTATGCCAGCCTGAGACTAGCCACAGCTCAGCCCAGCCAGCCGAAGTTCCAGGCGCAACCAACACCATAATCCAGCTGCCCAGCACCACCCATGGCTTCGCAGCCTCGTGGCTGAGACTAGCTTCAGGCCCAGCCCAACCAGCAACCCGCCTAAGCCAACCCCACCCAAGCCCACCCTGTTTGAGACTCGCAGGCCTCAGCCTATCTAGCGCCGAGACTGGGCCTCACCAGCCTGGGCTCAACTAGCGTCTAGCCCAGCCCAGTCCGCCTGCTGGCCAGGCCTGTCTGACGTGTCTGAAACTGGCCCAGCCATAGCCCAGCCCCCTCAGTGCGGCTGCCCAGCCCGCCGTAAACTAGCTTCAGCTCAACCAACAACCCCCGCAAGCAAGGTCCAGCCAAGCTGCCCGAGACTAGCTTCAGGCCCAGCGCAGGCTTATCTGATGTGTCTGAGACTAGCCTGTGGCCCAGCCCAACCAGGCAAGGCCGGCTTGTCTGACTTGTCTGGAGCCAGCTTCAGGTATTCGGACCTTCCCAACACTGGATTTCGGTGTTCCTGACCCTTCCCTCAAACTAGGCTGGGCCGAGGCGGGCAACGCGAAGCGTTTACAATTATTACACCCCCTCGTCTACTTTGACCCCATGCTGGACCAACACTCAAGCGGGTACTTTACTCAATAATGAAAAGCGGAGAGCGGGGGCCGGGAACTAATAGTACGGCGAAGCGATTAAACTTCCTCAAGTGCGGCAACACTCAAATAATATCAACCGAAACCCTTCCCCAGCTTCTCGCGGATGAGTTGGGCCGGGGGTGGTGCCAGCAGTGCTGAAGAAACGGAGTCAGTGTTGTTTTTTTCAGGCTTGCGCTAGAACAACTCGACGCAAAATCGCTCGCAATCATTGGTAGCCTAGTTGCCAAGGGCCCATGGCCTGTTGCTTGTGCCATTCTTGGGAAAACTCCGAAAAGCATCTGACTTGCACGTGCCGCTTGCCCGGCACGCAATGAACGTGGAGCTCGTGTTTTGCCAGCCCGCTCTGAAAATTCCTTCCTTTTTTGGCGGGGCATCTCCTGGCTCGCCCCTTGCTCTTCATGTTGTTCGTTGCTAAAGCGAAGCACAATGGCCCCAACCATTCCTCAAATCTAAGTAACGTTAGCGGCTGGCCGTCAGATTCGAGGGAACTGGAGACCTGTGGAGTTGCTAAAGAATGGAATTCTGCTGGGTGCGCCTTTCTCCTCAACATCTCTGGGCGGGGCCGATTGTCGGCCATCGTTCCGGAGGCAAGCAAAGCGGCATCTTAAGCCATCCCATGGGCTTTGCCATTGAAATGGTACCATTGATGGCTGGCTTTTAAGCAGCGCCATATTTACAGGTATCCCTCTCCATGGTTCTCATTCCAAAGCAAGGTTTGGGTGGGGGCCTTGTTTTCGTTTTTTTTTTGGAACCCCTATCAATCCACAGTTTAATCCAGAGTTTAAACTCTCCAGAAGTGGCCACGTGCAGCTTGCACGTCAGCCCTTCCGACTTCCGCCTCAGCCGCACAACTTCTTCCAAGGACCCACGCAGATGCTCCAGGAGGCTGCAATGCCCACAGACCCCTCGAGCTCGATCTCAGATTCCGCCTGTTCCGCCTCTCAGATTCCAGTTCCGGGTCTGAGAGACCCTCCAGTTCGACGTTCCTTTTGGCTTTCCCTTCAAATTCTATCCAAAAAAAAGGACCTGTTGTGGATCTCGATGCTTTCAATCCCCGTTTCGGTTTGTCCTTTCCTTGAAAAACCGAAAAACCACCCGCCACCCGCCCTTAAAACAAAAAAAAATCAAAAAATAAAGCTAAAAAAATGGCCCTCCGAAACCATCGGAAAAGCGGGCGCCTTCCGGTTGAAAGCCGTGCCTGGGCTCTCTGCAGCTCGGACAGGCTCACGGGCTCGTGCGTGGCGTGCACGCCCGCGTCCAGGACCGCTTTGGGCACCTGAGTCACAATCAAAAACCTGGTAGAAAAATGGTCGCAACCCCAGAACCATGCTTCAAGAATTAAGAAGGCGGATCTCCGCAGCTATGGTTGGGATTGTCCCTTAACCTTCATCTGCCCGAATCGGTTTTGAGCATGCTCACCTGGATCTCGGAGGCCGCCAGGTGGTGCAACGCGCCCAGGACCAGCCGCGTGGGCAGATGAGGATCCGAGCGGAAATCCCCCTGCAGCAGGCCGCTGGAGGTGAACCAGCCGGAGACGTCGTCATACTTGCCCGCGAATTCCAGCTCCTGCTGGTAGACCAGCATGTTCAGCAGGTCATCCGTGTCGGACAACTCGATGAGCTCTCCCGAGGGGATCTTCAACAAGCTGAAACCTTGGTTGCTGCAACGCCCCCCCTGCAAAAAGTGTTTCACTTTTGGGGGGTTTAGTGGTTAAAACCCCAAATGATTTCAACCAAAAAGTGAAAGCCTAAAGATCCGTTACCCAACTGCCATGAGCAGAAACGCCCCCTGGAAAAATAAAAAAATATGTCCAGTAGCGATAGGTTCCGACTTTAAAACCGACAGGTTGAAAATCAGAAAACAACTATTCATTTCGGCAAACGGAAGCCAATAGCAGTCAAGAATAAGTTGGTACCAACTTTTTCTGCAGTCCTTTGGTAGGTTTGAACCCTCCCCCAAAAAAGAAACGGAGAGAAAGGGCACCTAGGGGCCAATCGCAGCCCAGAAGCTGCGCTTGGCGCTGCACTTCACCTCGGGCGGGCAGGGCAGCGGCAGATTCTTGGCCGCCACCTTGAGCCCCAGGTTCAGCGAGCCCGAGTAGGGCCCCGTGAAGGACGAGAACTGCGTGAAGAAGGCCTGGCGAAGAAAGCTCGCCCGTCCTTTTGGGACAAGAATAGAGGGGTTTCCCTGGATGATCAAACCACCAAAGCTCGCCCATAGCTGTGCCTGCAAGGGAAATAGATGGGGTTTTCCCCAGATGAACAAAATCCACCAGGTAAAAACCAGGAATCGCCATCTGTTTTTCCAGCAAAACCACCACAAAGGGAATTATAGGAATGGTGTTTGGAGTTCAATCTCTCTGAAAAATGGCTTCACCGGAGGGCCTTTTTTTCTTTTTTTTGTTAATTTTCATGTAGTTTTATTTGTTACATTATGATTTTGGTTTTGTGTTTGTTTTCGCTTTTTTTTACGTTTTTTTTTTTTTTGTATGTTTTTTTTTTTTTTTTTTTTGTTTATTTGGTAGGGTGGCAACCAAAACCTGAGAAACAGTTGGAATATACGCACGCGTTGCAAAGTACGCTTGCATATTGGGTTCTTGGCCGTCAGTAACTAACAACGACTCTTGGCAAATCAACGATATCATGAATCGCGTTCGGCAATCACTCCGTTCCCTCCCTCCCACTAACATGCCACCCTACAAAGGGCCCCTTAAACAGGAAATTTAACTTCCAGTTTCCTATGTTAGTGGGCAAATGGGTACTCGTTGGTAGTCACGAATCATTCACAAGGCCATCACCCCATTTGAGCCAAAACCCGGTACAAAACTCCGATAAACCCAAAACCATGCAAGGAGTCACCAAGGCGGCGGCTATATATATCCCTTAATACTCTAGCAAATCAATTATATTTAAATATACATATATATATATATATATATGTATATTAACATGCCATACATACCTATATATGTATCATGCTTGTGGCTCCCACTGCCCCCCCGCCTTGGCGCTTAAGGCCAGGCCCCCTGAGGCGGAGAAGTCCGTGGTCGCCTCCGTCTCCGTAAAGGCGAACATGGCGAGGAAGGGATGGGCGATGTCGATGACGGGGTAGGTCCTGGCAGGCTGCTGCACGGCTGGCCGCGGTGCCCGCCAGCGACTTTTCTCATGGATGTGATGTGTCCTAAGACAGGGAACATCCCGAAAGAAGAAAAATAGGAAGCCGCAAGAAAGGGCCGGAGAAGCAGCCCAAGAGCTACAGTGGACCCATCTGTGCCGTTCTGGTGTGGGTAACGTTGACAAATCAACTCCAGCTTATATAGAGGGCATTTCCCTGGGCTTGGTGGGGAACCAGGTCACTTTGGGAGGGAACCCTATTGAGAGGAAGCGTTTATTTATCTGGGGTCACTAGTCAGCCCAAGGTTTGTTTATCCGGGGTTTTAACAATACACCAGGCATGGCTGATGGCTCTCCTGTAGGTCTCATTCTGACAGCCAAAGACCACCCCAGCACCCAGGCCAAAGGACCAAATGATCTTGCTGGTCCCGATCAAAACGGCAAAGGAGTACTTGCCTGCAAGGTTAAAAGTTGCCATTCCTCAAAAGCCATGGGTTAACCAGGATGTTGTTGTTGCATAGTTTTTCTTCAGCAGTCCCCCAAGCACAAAAAAGAGCACATGGTTCACTTCAGGGTTCATGATTTCTACCGCCATCACGGTTCGGAAACCGCATATCTCACCTGAAGCCAAAGAGTCAAAGAGGATTCCATCGCTTCTCCGCCTTCTTATTCAGCTGTGTTTGTCTTTTCTTTTTTCAGGTTTCAGGATAGCCATGCCTGTGAACTTCACCTTCATGCTCCAATCCTGCGTCCCCTTGACGCACTTCGCCTTTTGGGTGAGGATCAACGGCAGTGAGCGGCGCTGCTCCAGGCTGAGCAGCGAGAGGTCGCTGAGGAGGTTCTTGTTGGTCCAGTCGGTGACCTGAGAACCGCAGAGTTTGGAGGCTTCCAGAAATCCCCCCCCAAAAAACACATGCGAACGCAAGCGGTGAAACCCCATGCCCCAGCATGATTAGCAAAGCTTCTCATCTGCCCTGGTTGAAAAGGTCCGTCGGATTGAGGCCACTCCCCGTTTGGCCTCTTGAAAAGATTGGTTTTGGGCCGGGCGCCTTATTGGCAATGGTGTCGAATAGGTTGTACGCAGCATTCCCACCTCACGCGTCCGGGCTCACAAGCCGCTGGCTCTACCGCCCATGGGGTAGCTCAGCCATATTTGTAGCATTTGGCGCATTCAACATGCCAAACGATTTACATTTGCTTCTCAGAAGCCATGCTTCATTGGAGTCTCAGCCGCCCCCCATTTCTTTTGCCCCCGCCTTTGTAGATCAGGTTCACCACCACATCCAGAGCATCCACCAGGGATTTGGAGAGGCACAAGTCCTTCTTGCCCAAGTCCCAGAAGGGATGGGGCATCGAGACACCTGCCAAGGAACCACGCCGAGTCGGCCGAGATTCGCCCGATTTAGGTCTAAACATTGAAACGATTGGCGCCGTTGAGAACACGTCTTCTGAAGCTTTTTTGCCCTTGTCTTTTGAAGCCCATTCACGATTCTTCATGCACCCCGACCTTTCCATTTCCAAGGGCCGCTGAGCTGGAGGCATTGCTTGGCCCTCGCAAGAGCCTTCTCAAAGACATCCGCCTTGTTGTCTGTGAGATAGCTGAGGTCGGAGCTGGAGGTCGGGAGCGGAGTCAAAAGCTCCGACATCTCGTCAAAGACCCCGCAGTCGGTGGGAAAAACCCCGAAGAGCTTGTCATCCCCCAAAGCAGCGGGGCACAGCTGGCCATCAGGCCGATTTGCAAGCTGGATGGGCCCATTGGCAAGTTGATCGATGGCATCTTCGACGTCATGCATCAAGTCCAAAAGCTCTTGCTTCACCATCACCACCGATTTCTCCAGGTCCAGCTTCTCGATCATGGCCTCGAATGTGTCAATGCCGCCCAGCACTTTCTCGCTGCCCTCGTCCCAGGCCTTCCCGAATCCATTGCGCATCCAGTCCCATCCGTCCTGCACCACGTCGGCCATGCCATGGGCGGCCTTCTTGCTGCAGCCGGTGAGGCTGGAGCACGAGGAGGTCACGTACTTCTTCCAATCGCCTTTCACGCTCTTCGGGAGCTCGTCTCCCAGGACATCCGCGCACTCCAGAAACCCCACCGGCAGCCAGCAGGTCAAGGCCTGCAGGCAACTCTTCGGCACCGTGCAGGTGTTGGGCACATAACACGAAGCAGGCACGGAGCAGGAGTTAGGGACCTTGCAACTCTTGGCCACCTTCTTCCAGCCACAGGACACGTGGATATTCTTCTTGGCCTTGCAGACCTTTGTGAGTGATGTTCCACATTGGCTGGCACTTTTCACGGACTTCTCTCCACATGCACTTGCGCTGGTCACGACCTTCGTGCCACATCTTGCTTCACTTGTCACCCACTTCTGGCCACACTGTTCTGCACTTGTGACAGTGTCTTCTCCACACTCTTCCGCGCTGGTCACCATCTGCTCACCACATTTCACTGCGTCCGTCTCTAGGCACATGCAGTACGCGCAGTCCGATCCATCAAGTCGCGCGCGACGGCTCAGCAAGGACCGGCGGGACCGCGGCCCGGACCGGAGGCTTAACAGTGCCGAGTCCTCGCCTCGGTTGCTGCTGACCCCTCCACCAAAAAATCACTTTTTTCTGGGTTCCATGGAAAAAGTTCAATGGAAAACCAGCTTGGTTTCCTATTCCTAAAAGGTGAAGTCTAACGATCCAATAGCCATCAAGCCACATTCGGTGCTGTTGCAGGGCTGGGCATGGACACTGGCCAGCAACAGGACCACCACCCAGAACATGGGTTCTGGAAGCGCACAACAAGTGACAAGCTTGAGCTGACAAGCATGATTAATGCAACGAGTCTTTGAGACTGGGGCGGTTCTGACCCCGAGTAGTTGGAAGTAATTCACCAACTTCAACTAGTGTGCAGATGAGTTTGCCGCCAACAATGGCTCCGAAAGAGTGATGGCCCAACCACCGATATGTTTGTCTATCTGTGAATCTCTCTCTCTCTGTCTTTCTTTCCGTCCTACCTGTCTGCGAGGCCGAGGGCAAGGGCCATTCTCCGCCTGTGGATCTGAAAATCAGGCCCTCCGTGAACGGGATGGCGAGCCCCGTTTGGAATCTAGCAACTTGCCAGGGCCACCAACAACGCTAGGCCTTCGATTGAAACACACCCCCACCCCCACACCCCCACACCCCACCCACACCCACACCCCCACCCACCCACCCACCCACCCACCCACGCACGCACGCACTCACCCACAAACAAACAAACAAACAAACAAACAAACACACAAACACACAAACACACAAACACACACAAACACACAAACACACAAACACACACACACACAAACACACAAACACACACACACACACAAACACACAAACACACAAACACACAAACACACAAACACACAAACACAAACACACACACACACAAACACACAAAAAAATCAAACACACAAACACACAAACACACAAACACACACACACAAAACACACAAAACACACACAAACACACACACACACACACAAACACACAAACACAAACACACACACAAAACCACAAACACAAAACACACAAACACACACAAACACACAACACACAAACACACAACAACACAAAACACACAACACACAAACACAACAAAACAACACAACACACAAAAACACACACAAACACAAAAACACAAACACACGCAAACACACAAACGCACAAACACACAAACACACAAACACACAAACACACAAACACACAAACACACAAACACACAAACACACAAACACACAAACACACAAACACCAACACACAAACACACAAACACACAAACACACAAACACACAAACACACAAACACACAAACACACAAACACACAAACACACAAACACAACAAACACACAAACACACAAACACACAAACACACAAACACACAAACACACAAACACACAAACACACAAACACACAAACACACAAACACACAAACACACAAACACACAAACACACAAACACACAAACACACAAACACAAAACACACAAACACACAAACACACAAACACACAAACACACAAACACACAAACACACAAACACACAAACACACAAACACACAAACACACAAACACACAAACACACAAACACGCACACAAACACACAAACACAAACACGCAAACACACAAACACGCACAAACACGCACAAACACGCACAAACACACAAACACACAAACACACAAACACACAAACACACAAACGCACAAACCCACAAACCCACAAACCCACAAACACACAAACACACAAACACACAAACACACAAACACACAAACACACAAACACACAAACACACAAACACACAAACACACAAACACACAAACACACAAACACACAAACACACAAACACACAAAAACACAAACACACAAAAACACAAACACACAAACACACAAACACACAAACACACAAACACACAAACACACAAACACACAAACACACAAACACACAAACACACAAACACACAAACACACAAACACAGAACACACACACACACACAAACACACAAACACACAAACACACAACACACAAACACACAAACACACAAACACACAACACACACAAACACACAAACACACAACACACAAACACGCAAACACACAACACACAAACACACAAACACACAAACACACAAACACACAAACACACAAACACACAAACACACAAACACACAAACACACAAACACACAAACACAAACACACAAACACACAAACACACAAACACACAAACACACAAACACACAAACACACAAACACACAAACACACAAACAAACAAACACACAAACACACAAACACACAAACACACAAACACACACACACACACACACACGCACACACACACACACACACACACGTGCGCGCGTGCGCTCACGCAACGCGCAACACAAAACACGCAGCACGCGGCTCATAACTCACAACGCACACACGAAGACGCTGAGCGGCCCTTCTTTGTGGACGACAAGCTGCAAGCGCGAATCATGGTGTAGAGCGTTTGCGGTTGGAACCAAGCTTCATGTACACGGGTTTTGACCGTGGCGCCTGCGTTGCTCACATGCGCGAAGCGCAAACAAACAATCCGGCAGGCTCCCAACTATGCTCCCAAATCATCACATTCCTCTCAAAAGGAGAATCGCGCTGTCACACTGACGCCTGTCTCTGGCATGCTGGATCTAGGGAAACTGCACTCCTTCGTTGAAGAAGCCAAGGGAAGACTCAGCCGTCGTGGAAGGCGACCTTGGAATGGAAGGCACTGGCAATCAACACCTTGCAGGTGACCATGTCTCAGGACATTTTTGGAATCTGCCTTTGATCGTCTGAGGCTCA